AATTCTGGATATCAATGCAACACAGTGGATACATTCGGGAGAATGGTAATATGCATGGGAATCTAAGCCGAGCCAATGATCAGTTGGGTCTGAATAAAGACCAACAGGCCTATGCTGATTCACAACTTACGCTTGTTCCTCACGAGGTTGTTCAGGGCTGTACCAGCTGACGTTGAGAACCTTGTCATACTCCTCTTCGGTCTGTATGGGCATGGGCATATAATCATCCGTTGATACAATCTGGCAGTGTCAGTATTCGGAATAGATTGGTAGAGAGAAACAGCCGTACCTCTTGGAAATCGTCACTGAATCTCTTCTTCAGAAGTTCGGCATATTTGCCAAAGAGTGTCAACAAGAATTCATCAAAGACTCGCACGGGGAAGTTCCACGTCTGTTGTATGGATATTAGCTATTTGAGCGCGAGATAATAGAGATGAGCCTACTTACATTCATTGTCTGCATGAATAAACCAATCAGATTCTTGATGCTAAGAATGCTTTCAGCGTTGTCGACTTCATGAAGCGCTTTCGATATCAACAATACAGCCCCTTGGCACATCGAATCCCACAGCTCGTCAATCTATTTAGAGGAATGAGTCAGATCATCCAAGGGAAAGGGGGATATGGTTTCTTACATCGACGGATGATCTAAGATCCGGGGCTCTTTTCATTGTGGCCCGTTCAACAATAGCAAATCCAGCCATCTCTTCCAAGAGATTGTGTAGACTAGAACCATCTTCATCAACAAGTGTGATAGAAGACGGAAGCAAGAGCTCTTTCTGTTTTCGGCGGGTGGTTGCGTATTCAATCCGGAATTTATCCATATGTCCCAAAGATTGATGGATATGCAAGCATTCGAACAGTGGTGTAAAGTCAACCTGAAGATCTTCATTCTGGAGCAGGTCATATTCCTCGTCTTCATCGGCCACCAATTCGATCGCGGAGTTCAAATTGAAATGCTCTAGATAAGGATTTTTTGCCGCGCGTTGCTTTTGTCTTGTTTTCCGCTGGTCTGTGTGGAAGAGCGCAATTTCCCCGAGGTATTGAGACATTTCTCGGATACGGTAAAGCCAGGTATTGAGATCTGACATTACTGCTTCCGCGATAGCTCTCTGTGTTGCTGGAACTGAGCGTTGTATCATGACTGCAATTTTGTATTGCGTCACCCCCTTCAGATGGACATTTTGCAATTCCTCCAGCGCCCGCAAGGCTGCGTAGTGGTTCTTCTTTGCTAAGAGGTCATGGACTTGGTTTGCTAGACGCAGCACCTCTAAGCAATCTTGAATAGCGCGACTGGTCTCGTCAATATTCTGCCGGTGGCCACGCGACTCCACCAGTGCTTTCTTCTGCTCGGCCAGGTGTTCGGTACTGGTTTGAATAGATTGATTCAAGTCCAGAATCTCTGCTGTCAAGCTCACTGTCCCTTCTCGAATCCGAAGAAGTGAATTGACAGATGAGACGAACTCCTGGTGGTTTGTATTGCATATGCTTTCGATCTCGGACTCCTTGTCGCCCGCGAACCGGGACAGTGACTGCAGGAGTTGTGGAGTGCGGTTTCCAACGCTGTAATCTCTGATTGAAGGAATGAGCTGATCCAGATAGTCTGTATCGGAGGGTGAAATGATAATCTAGGAACACGAGCGTCAGCTTATTGAGGTACATTCTTCAACGTGTAGGCTGGCTCACTTGGTTCAAGACGTGTGGCTCATTGAGCATTGGAGCCATGGGGGGCATAATGGGTCAAATTCATAGCAAGAGGAAAGCCCGATAGTCAATACTTCTCACTTGCTAAGCTTGCAATCTTATCCAGGGTAGATGATCTCAAGCTTATACCTACTCACAGCCATGTATGTATGTTGGTGAGGGTGTGCATGTGAATCGTGCATTCTGATTGGCTATTGAGTGTGTGAGTTGGCTTACCGCTTATAGGTAGCCCTTTTTCTGCCGACCCACCTGAGCACCCTTTTCCTCATCAAAATGTCCAATTACATTTGCTTTTTTAATGAATATACTAGACTTACCCTTTAATTAATTTATTTTTACTCTTCAAGATAGATTAAATACTACTAAGAGATATAACTTCTATTTTTCAAAACCTAATTGAATCAAGTTTTAGTATATAATCGAGGTTTTTCTTAAATACTCTCCTTTTACCGCTCTTCTTTCTGCCGGACGTCCACCTAAGAGTTGGCTGACCGCCTATAGGGAGCCCTTTTTGTACCAACCCATCATCCCCTTTTGCTTGTTAAAATATCGAATTATATTCAATTCACTCATAGGTGAATACAGTTGCAAGGGTTTGCTATTCATAATGGTGTTTAAACTGCCTTCGTGAGCTCTTGTAGTAACCGTGGCAAACCCACCAACACACTATGTATGTTGTTACCCGGTGTTGGTGCTCAGGCTTCACCGGATAACAAATTATCACCAGATAACTAGCAACCAACCTTCCACCCACCTGGGCAGGTTGGAAATCATACGGATTAGGTAATCGTGCCAAGCCCCAATACACCTTCACTGTAGTACTCCGTATTGGTGCGCTCCAGCCAACGATAATTTTCGGTGAACGATGGATATTCAAAATTAGGTATCTTTTGTATTCGCATACCATACAAAAGGTACAAGGGGTTGAAAAATCAAAAATTCTATTTTTTTCTCAACCCACGACATAGGTAGGGAAATTATAGATCTAGATAGTATATTTAGACCGATTTTAGCTAATTTGGTACTAACATTAACCAGAAATATTGGGTATAATACACTGAACATTTAAGTTCTACGGAGTACATACAATCTTTATAGTTATCTAGTGTTTGTTTAATGTGCTTCTCACACTTCTGCATTGTTTCGAATTAATCTTAGTGTTAGAACAGTCTAATCATAGTTATATTATATACCATTTAGCACTCTTATTTAATTTTTGACTAGTTCAAGGGTTGAGTAAAATGCAAGTTATGAATTTGAAACCCTTTGCACCTTTTGTATGGCACGGGTATACAAAAGATACATAAAGTTACAACCTCAATTTTCTTCACTCTCAAACTAGGTAGAAAGGATATATCAGGATATATATAGTATAATTGGTATCTGCCTCTGAGAATCATCAACATTTGAAGTGTTCCTAAAGTAAAAGAATGGGTTTGCTTTTACATACTGTATGTGGTGTATTTCAAAATGCTCTTCACACTTCTATATCATAAATTGGGAATCATTCTTAGTAGCAATTCGATTAAACAAGCTCCATGTTAAAATACTACTTGCTTATCTTTCCTTAGGCTCATTTGAAAGTTGAGAAAAATCGATGTTATATCCACAGTTATGTACTTCGTTAGTTGAAATCCACTATAATTATCGCCTGTGGGTATTTCTGCTGGCCATACCCATCTATTTTTCTATCTCAATGTTATAGCGCCACATTATCATTATACTAGTTATTATATATACTATGCCAGGGAGTACTAGATCAGGTTGGGTCGGTACCTGATTAGGTAGGGCGTAGTAAGGAGAGGGCCTATACTTCTTTTGTTAACCTTTACTTTTATTTATCACACTTCGTTGTATCGACTGTATTATCTCGGATATCTCTATGGAGTACAAAACCACACAAGCGAGTGGTCCATCCCAAAACACATAGTAGTTAATATAAAGTTTAACGATAACTCAATTTTACTAAACATGTTATCACTACCTATGTATGTAGCTAAGTATTATATCTTAGAATCAGAATGCACCTGGGATCATCGATGACCGGACCTGTAGTCACTCTCAAAATACAGGTATACATTATCAATATCTAATCTTGCTTTAGATTCATTGACAGCATCGTTGGAAGATGAGGAGACGATATTGTTTTGAATAAATATACTAGAATTTCCCTTTCATTTATTTGCATACTATGTACTTAGATAAAAGAGTATAATCATGTCTCTTTTTTATCCTACTTTTCTTTCTGCCGGACGTATACCTACCACATCGACTTATAGAGCGCTAGCCGTGCTCTATAGGAGCGTAGGTAATGGAGGACCTTATACATTCTTAGTGGTTGTGCAATGAACTGGCTCATTCTCTGACGTCTTTTTTTGGGATTATACTAAGCCCAACTGATATTTAAAACCAGATTTTCTAGTTCTGTATCTTTAATAGTGTATAGTATATCACTTTCTTTATAAGGTATTTGTATTTGGCTGCCTTTGAAAGGCTAATCCCAATATGTGTTAGCTTGATCACTAGCGTAAAACTTGGCCAACATCAGATGTATACAGCATATGTACGCGTACAATCCAACACCCTGAGAACACATCTTTCTCCTTTCTACTGATTAACTCCTTCCTTTCATTCCCCATCTCGCTTTCTACATGCTCAAATTGCATTTATTCTTTGGCAGCTTTCTATCCCAACTTCCCCTTGTAACAGCTGAAAACTTGTAAGAACAGTATGGCTGGAAGAATACTACTGCCCAGGTTTTACTGTGATGCTCTAAAGATGTGCATTGGGGTCCAAAGACTCATGTGAGGTCTCTACATACCTACATAAGATGTCTAAGGTCTACTTCATAGTCTTTAATCGTGAATGAGAACTATACCTTGGCCCTTTTCTACCGTAATATGGCGGATATGTACCCAAAGCTAGCCATTCCACGCTGCTCAGTCTGATAATAGATACGGGTCAGCATAAGCTTCTTCCTCTGCCGGATTGTTAGCGCAGCGCTCAATCTTTTTGTCGGGGTGGCTCGTTTGTAGGCTTAGTCGCCATGAAATCCGGGGCTGTATAGATCGATGTATAAGAGGGCCCATTTCCCCATCGCCAACGCTTCTTTTTCTTCTTTTCCCCCTCCCTCTTGATCCGAAAAAGTCACTACTCACTCTCCATCCATCATCTCTTTGAGTGCTACAATTTCCGCCGCTTCGTTATGGAACGCGATCTGATAGCTCGTATGTCGGCTTCCAAGGTTGTCTTTTGCACACAGTCTTTTGCTCACAATCCTGTTACTTAGAATCCAACATGGACAAACCTCCTTCGACCCGCGGATCGCCCTCAGAGCAGCTCGCAGCTTTCACCCCTATGGGATATGAGGCTTTTGCTCAACGAGCAAATCCTGTGTCATTTGCTGGGATGAAAACAATCCGTCCGACCGGGTAAGTACTTGTTGATACATAACCAAGTGAAAACAGCCCTAATACGTTTACGCGTAACAGTGACCCATTTGCTGGTTTATCTATGGAACCGCGGTCGGGCCCTAGCCTTCCTGTGTCCCAGATAACTGCTGCAAACCCCACTTCTGGCTACGCGCGCCCAGCTCAGAAATTCGAACGGTCTGATAGCTCGACTCAATTGGCCGCGCCCGGGGCTCCTGGTCAGGCGAACACTCAGGCATTAACTAGTCAATTCCAGTACTCGTCTATCTCACCTCAGTCAGTTCATACAATTAACGCAGCTCAAGCTTCTGACACTTCGGCTAGCCAATTCAATCAGTCTTTTGCTTCCTCTCAACTACCTCTTGCAGAAGCTGGTTCTGGTGGAACGCGATACACGCCTTATTCCTCAACTCATACCAGGGCGCATGTGGGAGGATCTAATAACCCTCTCTCTGATGTTCAGCCAGGTATTGCTAACGCTCAGTACTCGCCATACCGTCAAGAAACTGGCTATGAATACAACCCAAACACGGGTTTGGTGTCTAGCTTGTTCGAAACAATTCACGATTCTGCAGCTGGAGGGACCAATGCTTCCCCTGGAAACATACAGAGGCTTGGAAACCCTGATAACAAAGCTGGTCGTGCCACTGAGATAACCGCTTCACAATCCCTCTCTGCTGGACCTCCTGAGGCTACTGGAAAGCATCGATCTTTTATGGCGCACTATGTCCCTTTCGACACTTCACACCGCTCAATTATTGCTATGTTCCCAGTAAGTTTGAATGCCAACCTGTTCCTATATTAAACCAAAGCTGACTTATCAAGATTACCGAATATCCTTCTCTTGAGGATGTTTGTCTCAAGCACCTGAGCACTAGGGGAATGGTCTCGTTTTCATTTGGCGATCTTCGAGATACCGTCGGTGCCATCAACAAAATTCGCCAAGTTCGTCCTGACTGGCAGATTGTTCCTACCACTTCCCAGGAAATCGCCAATTTCCACGGAGAAAATGGAACCAAAAGAGCCGCATTTGCCACTGTATCTCAAGATGGTGGATTCCTGCTTTCTGTGTACGCTATTCCAAGCCAGTGGACCATGCGACCCATGGAAGTCACTGTGAGAGAAGTTGTTGCTTCGCTTGGCACGCTGCGTACTTGCAAGATCATCGAGCAGGAAGCAGGCATGAGTCGATACTACGTTGAATATTTCAACGTGCGTCATGCAGTTTATGCTTTCTCTTGTCTCAACGGGTTCAAGTTCGATGTATTTTTTCTTTCTCCTCCTTTTTGCCTTTGTGTTCTTGGAAGTGCAATGCTAATATTGGTTTCATGCAGAGTCTTGAGTTCAACGTTAGGGAGGCATATGGTAGAGGGCCTGTCATCTCTCATAGTCGAAATTCTAGCTGTGTCTCTCCTCAGAGCCCTAGGACCCCACATCACCTTGTGTCCAAGGAGAACGAGGTTGAGGAAAACGTCAACGTCTCTCCAGCTTCTGATGATTCAGGCAAGTCGAGTGCAAATATTGTCCATCCCGACCGAATCTTGCAAGGATTGGATGTTCGCAGCACGGTAAGTTTTCCCCCATCTGCTGCAGGACAGATTTCTTACATATTGTCTCATTGCAGGTCATGATCCGCAACATTCCTAACAAGATTACCGTGGTATGATTATCTCTCATCTTTATATGAAAGCCATAAAGCCTAATTGTGATATCCAATAGAATGAGCTGAAAAGCATTATCGACGAGTCCAGCTATGGGAAGTATGACTTCCTCTATCTGCGCATGGGTAAGTGTTTCTCGATGATCTATTCACTTTTTCGGGCTAATCTAATATATATCTAGATTTCACGCATCATTGCAAGTAAGTTTTAATTGGTCATTGTTTGTTTTCGATGTTACTTACCCTTTGTCCTTCTAGCGTTGGTTACGCATTCGTGAACTTCGGTGATGTAAGTATTCCTGTTGTTTTCCTTTTTGCCTGATATTCCTTTTGTCCAATGTCCTTTTACTCAATTCCCTTCCATCCAACGTCTCTTTCATCTGATATTTTACTAACATGATCTACAGCCAATTGACATTCTCAACGTGAGTTATATCATGGGCCAGTGTGTGACATGTACTTACTAGATTCTTTTAGCTCATGCAAGCTATAGTCGGCAAGGCTTGGTATGCTCCTCTCCATCTTCCCTAGAAAAAGGGCACATTCGCTGACTCAAGACAATTACAGGCCCGACTGCATCTCCGATAAGCGAGCTGAAGTTTCTTATGCTAGTTCGTGTCCTATTCTTGATCGATAGGAATGATGTCTGACAAGTTTTAATAGCACTTCAAGGCAAGGAGGCTCTTGTGAGCAAGTTCAGGAACAGCCATGTTATGACCCGTCCTCATGCTGAACAACCCCGGGTAAGTTTAATCCTCTTCTTGTCCTATTCTGGTACCGATATTGACTGAATATAGCTCTTCTATCTTGAGGGCCCTCAAAGAGGCACCGAAGCTCCTTTCCCGAGCCCTAATGACGCCAGCAAGCTACGTCGTTCAGTTGCAAGCACTACTCAGCAAGGTAAGATATCGTGCCCTTTGGATTGTGGATCTACCCTAACCCTTTTATAGGCCTCTTCTCACCCCGAAGCCGACCTCCAACGACGCCTCGCACCGACCGCGCGCGTTCTCAATCGCAGCCCTGGAGTCAGACTCCCCGAGGTCGAGGTTCATTCCGCACTCCCCAGCATTCTGCTCGACGATCGGTCCATTATGGCCCTGGCGAGTTTTCTCCCATGCGACCGGAGGATCGTCAATTTATCTCACACCGAAATTAAGCTCTCCCTACATGGGTCAGCCGATGCTCTTCCAAGGCTCGAAATGCTCGCATCTACAGCCTTTCGCAACTTCTGAAAAGCCCCTTGGAAGCATCATATTCCATACATATGTATCATTGTTCTCCATGCCAACAAAAACAAAAACAAAAAAACAACCTCAAAAAAAAATCCATTCATTTCAACATCAAGAAGCTTCATGGACACAAGTTACCGCGCCGTCAACGCCGGTCTCTTCCTCTTCCTCACTGGACAACCATATTCGGTGGCCGCACCGAATTCGTTTCCTTCAATATGAGGTTGTCGATCCATATCTTGAAAAAAAGAATGAAAAAAGTTGAAAAGATGAAAAAAAGATGAAAAAAAAAACGATTCGATATCTTTCTAGGGCTGAGCTTGATCACCAATATCTCCAATATCCTCTTGATTTGGTTCCGATATTGCTTATCACAATGCTCACGCTTGCTCCGTGATTTACTTCAATCACAGGAAAACATCATTTGTTTCATTAATGTGCTCTGGAGCACAGAGCACATTGAATGGCCTCTTCGGTGTGAGCCTGCCCTTATTTCTGCTTTTTCGGCGTTTGCGGCGTTTTCGTGTTCTGCTTTTTCTATTTTTTTTTGCTGCATTTCAGCTTTTCAGCGTTTTCTTTTCTGTCTTTTCTGCTTTTTCGGCGTTTTCGGCGTTTTCTATTGCTATTTCTTTCTCGAAAATCTGGAAAATCCAAAAAAAAATTTGAGGAAGGAGGAGGTGGGAAGTTTGTTAGATTAATGTTATGAGTATTTTAAATCTCTTTGGAAGAGTAGAGAGTAGAATTAGAAGAGCGTGCAAGTATATATATGTAGTTCCGTACATCGTGTAGTAAAAGTACAACATCGGAAAAACCCACTTTTCATCTTTTCCATCTCACTACACAAAACATGGACACCAAGGAAATCCTAGCAGTCCACTCAACACTCCATCTGATCTTTCATCGCAACAAGAATCAGCATCGCCGAACAAAATGGTGGAAATGGCTATCCATTTTGAAGCGCGCCACCTTGGATCTCGCCCGATCGGGGGTCAAATCCCACCTAGCCACCTACATAATCCCAAGATGTTACATGTATGAAAGTGGTCCTATTGTTTTGCCGAACGACCTGGCTAATTGTTTCCCTAGCGCTTTCTCAACTGTCGTTGCCGATAATCAGTTTTCCACTCTTGGAATCGTGCTTCTAGCTGCGTTGGCCCGACTGTCCAAAATCACCGGGATCAGTCATCAGCTGAAGGTGCAACCTGTGGTAACCAAGTCTAAGACTACTCCTATTGTCGCAAAGGAAGATCTTGGGGAACGTATTCGTCGGGTTGACGATGCGCCACTCACCCGCCCAGTCAAGGTTTTACAGTCTGATGCCAAGGCCCCTTCCAAAGTCCCCTCAAAGGTCACCAAGGAGAAGAAGCCCACAGAAAACCTTACCGAGGACGGTGTCTCAAACATTACATTGAAAAAGAAAAAGAAGAAGAAGAACGCTATCGATGATTTGTTCAGCGGTTTATTTTGAATCTCAATACCCCTCTATGTACAGTGTTTTTTTGGTGGATTCCAAGGGATGTCCAGGCGTGTATTTCTATGCTGAAATTTTTTTATGAATAATGAGATCGAGATCGAGAGAAAATAACCTCGCCCAGTAAATTGACAGCAACATGATTAGCAGTGGCCCACGCCATACTGTAAAGATATTTGGGGGAGAAAACGGTCCAGATGAAAAGATGCGTCCGGAGTGCTGTACAGGCGGCCATGACAGAAACCAAGGACATGGCGACATGAAAGGTCAACAGTGCCGAGGGGTTTTGTTCTGCAGGATTCTTCGGTCGAAGACGATGGCTCTGTGAAGCCCACCAGATAGGTCCTGCCCAGTTGCTCGCGAAGGTGAGAATACCCACTAGCACCACACTGTAGCTGCCAATACCGTTGTACCCACTAGCAAGGTCCACAGAAGAGATTGCGTTGGAGCCGCCAAACGCGAAGAACGTCATATATTGGAATATCAAGGTTGTGATTGTCACTTCGATCCCTGTGAGGTTCATGGAAGAGAGAATGCCGGCCTGGATTCGGAAAATCAGGAATAGGGGGACATTAGTGGCACGGGACTGCGTCATTAAGAAGATGTGCAGAGCCTCATGGATTGTATCATGTGGTGCTAAATATGTTGGTCAGTAATGACTCCAAGCTCAAGAGGCGGTCTGGAGTAGGTGTGGGCTTACCTTGAGCAACTCTTGATTGTTTTCCGACAAAGAGCGCTAAGAGGACAACAACAGCAAGTCCATAGAACACAAGCCTGGCATGTAAAACCAATGATAGACTGTAGGGCCATTCCTTCATGATTTGCGAGATGAACGTTCCATCGAGGAGTTCGGGGGGATTCCGAGGTCACAAAGTGCAATTTGAATGTACAGGCCAACACGGCAGGGGCCAAGGCACCGAGCTTAAGCATCCCAGAGATTGGTATTCTCTTAAGAAGATGACGACCGGCATCCACATACGTGAGGATAAAAAGACACCAGAAGATTTCTGGATGGCTTGTAAAGAAGGTGCGAGCAATATCAGGCTCGGCTGCGAACTTCTGTCCCGTTTGGTTCCATCGCCGCAAGAGCCGCTGGGTGATTGCGAGCACAAGAATCATGCATTTGTTAGACCAAGATGCCAATGATCCAAAGCGTTTGCGTGAGACCGCGTTTGCAGATGATTGTGATTTGATATGCAGATAGACAATCCATCCCGAGCAGATCCAATACCAGAATTGTTGCTCTTCTTCCACATAACTACTCGCAAACATCATCATCCCACAGGTGATGACCATGAGCATCATAAACAGCCCGGAAGATCCGTGACGTGTGCATTCCTTGTATGTGGCCGGAAGTACAAGCAAGCCTGCAACCCCCGTGATCAAGAGGCCCAGAATGAGTCTGGAAACATCGTAGTTACTAGCAGTACGGCTCATGACCTCCTGTGCAATTCTTAAGAATTGCAACAAAGCGGGACCAGCTGTAGAGTACGAATTATCTCCTTCATCCCTATCAGAGAGGAGTTGCTGGACTCGAGCCCAAGCACATTCAGCTCCTCCAATACCAGATAGGGCTCCCGAAGTACATGATGTAATACTATCAGGGCCAAAAGTAGACCCAGGGAATGTAGTTGTCAATGTGTTCAGCAGCTGCTCAGCATTTTGATATAAGATTCGAAGCTTATCAGAACCTGTTTCCGGGTTAGTTCCGGGTGTATTTTGCTTTGCTTTGCTGTGGTTAGGGGCAGTGTGCTTACCTTGATCCCACATTTCTAAGAATTCTGGGATGAATACACCAAGACTGTTTAAAGGAATTGGGATACCAAGAAGCCCCGCCAATGTTGGAGCAATATCCGCTTGCTCAACAGTCTGATAGTACTGCATATCGCCTGACGGTTCCACGGGGCTTTCTCTTTTACCACCCAAGGCTTCGAACTTAGGTGACATGAAGAGCAGCGCGGGAGATGTTTCACCAGCAGAGGACCCGCCATGGTTTCCTGCCTCATTCATGCCATGGTCTCCACACAGCACAAAAAGTGTGGATTGGAGATGGTCTTGCTGCTGCATTGCGGTATAGATTTCAGTCACCACAGAGTCCATCTCATGCTGTTTTGGTATCATGAAGGGACTGAGAGGGTTAGAGATTAGAGAGCAGCTAAGAATGAGGCAGGGAACTGCATTTACCTTTTCGGACCAGCCTTATGTCCTATGTGATCCAGACCCAAGTAATGCATAATCAAAGCAGACCAGTCATCCTGGGCAAGCTCGTTGGGAACGTGTCGAGTCACATTATGATCTACTTCGGTGAAGTCCTGCGAGAAAAAGCTCAGTTTCAATACTAATACTGTGGATACAGAAATGACTAAAGTACAACTAACCGAAACGAAGAAGCTTGTAGTTCCATCAGCTCGGTCAAACATCCCCGGGAAGAGCTTGAGCCAGGTATCGTCCCCATACATCACAAGCCGTCCGCCAGTGGCCTTTATTTGCGCCAACCAGGTGTCCTGGTATGCAAGTGTTGATGAAGTATCTGATTCGGCAATGTTGAGAATAACATCTAGAAAAGATGGGACTGAACCAGTCGTGATGGCTTTTAGCCGAGGCATTGTAACAGTCGGAGAGCTCGCATAGGCCGTGAATGGCAATGCGGCACCGGACCGAATCAAGCTATTATCAAATTAGTCACTTATTTCGAACATAGAAATGTTTGATTTCGAAAGTGACACTCACCTCTGTGTAAACAAGAAACCCGAGTCGTTCGAATATACAAAGTCGCTATACATGACACCTTGTTAGTTACCGGTATAGCTCGGGGGTTGGATCATTCGAGTCATGCCTCCGTAATGCATCGACCACCATAAAGATAACTTTATCAAAAACCGCAGGCGCAGGCGCTGTGTCATTCTCGCCTGTTTCATCAAATGACGCTAATCCAGGGAGCAACGGTTTATAAGGGAAGAACCCTGAGGAGAAGGTAAGTATGCCCACAGGTATCAGCAAATTAGCAATGACCGTCGTCCAGCTGCGGAAGCCCGCCATTTTGCAAATTGATTGGCGTTAGCTCTAGCAGCACAACTTCTATGTAAAGAATCTCAAATCAAATGGACATGTCCAACTGTCCGGGGGATCCAAAAGGAGGCAGAATCGTGTTTATGATCGACGCGCAGCAACACACCGCCTTATCAAGTACCTTGTATATTGTAACCTTGGAATATTCAAATGTTGTATACCTACATTTACTTCATGGTTTGACACCTGTATTCATGCGCTAGAAGTCAACAGTGCTGGATGAACGCATAAATTAGCTAATTAAACTTCACTAGGGTTGCTTATCGGTGATTTTGAAGTTTAAGAGCAACCTATATTGGCTCCCCGCCACACTATGGTTACTATTTTCCCACCGAGCGAAATCCAAGTAATATCTCAAGCCTTTAATGAAAAGGTATGGTATATCAGACATAGACTATGAAACATATGTACGTGAATCGCAGGTGTAATCGTGGACTCCCAAACGCCTTTTTCTTCTCCGCCACAACATCTCGTCAATAATCCATCATTGCCCCTCACTCGAAACACATCTCACTTCCTCTTGGTACCCTTGTTGGCTGTAGTAGAAAGGCGCTTTTTGAAGACAATCGAGTTGCGAGGCTTTTGGTTGCGCTTGTGTACACGTGCCGGCTTCTTCTTGGACTTAAGTGTGTCGATATCCATCTCTGTGTTGGGTGGGTAAGCATTCTGTAGTTCCAACCCAAAAAGGTGCAATTCAAAAGTTGATTTGCCATAAACTAACCTTCACTGTCACCGGCCTTGGCCTTGGCTGCTGTAATATGAGGTGAGTCGTTATCCTTGAAAAATGATGGTAGTATACATACCAGCCTCGTCCTCTAGGTCTTTCTTTGATTGCGCAGGGGCTTCAGGCCGCGGCTGTGATGCAATCTCCTGTAGTTTGGCAGCGAGTCTCTCGGTTCTGGCATCGTTGAGTGGGCCAAAGAGGTTCTTGCGCAGATTGGCTCTGTTGCGCTTGGAAACGCTGGCTCGGACACTTTTCGCCATTGTATGAGGATATGATAGAAATGATAACAAATAAGGCAAATGGGGGTATCAAGACTTGAGTATATTGGGAAGAATGTTGAAACTGATGGTCGGTGGGAAATAAAATGGTCAAACTGATAACACAATCAACTTTTTTTTTTCCGATAGGCTCGTCTTATGTCATCCAGAGCCCGCACTTCCAAGGTTCACCTCCGAGAGTCGACTCGACACCCTTTATGACTGGGGTTTGTGGCCTTTCCCTCACAGTTTACTCCAGTCGAGAGATGTATCGATGCAGAGCCCTTACACTTGGCCTGGCTGAATTGGACCCTTGTCTTTCGAGGAACCCTGAACCAAGTCCATCTTGATTGCTTTCGCATTTCTCTTATCTGTGCAGCAGTCATGTCGACCAGCCTGGCGTCAGAGGTTGCAACGCTGACGGCCTTCATCAAACCCCTCACAAATCCACAGCTGAAAGATTTGCTGAGGTATGAGGGCCTTCCGGTATCCGGGTTGAAGGCAACCTTACAGTTCCGCATTATTCAACGTTCGTCACTTCTTCCCGACTCTTGTTATTACCTGTTCCTTCCATCCTCTACCTGTTTAACAATACTTTCTTCAACTCTCTGTTTCTATTTCAAAGCCCATTCCTGCAGAAATCTGTACATTGACTGACCACCGGAACAGGAATCCAATCCCTCGCAGAATCCGACCCTGTCAGTTTCGATGCTCTTGCCAGGCGCATCCGTGCCACTACTTTCCCAAACACTGTGCCATATCAATCACCCTCTCGACCACAATACCAGCCGTCGCCTGCCTCTCAATCTCCTGCACAGACTCGTCCTCCCCCGCTTGGGGTTTCCATGTCACCTCACTCATACTCTGGTCCGAGTGCTCCTCTCATGAAACCTCCTGCGGCGGCTCATATATCCCCAGGTCCTTTGATTTTCAAAGAAAGTCCGTTTTACACAATTCTGGAGCCTTTGACTGCAGTCGTGGAATGTAAAAGTATGTTAAGATGTGTTTTTGAAACTTGTTGAATATTCATGTCTAATTTAATCCAGTTCGCGAACAAACACGGGATAGTGTTGAAATGAAGGTCATGCTATCTCAGCAAAATGCTATTAGCTTACAAACTGACTCAAACCTTCGTGTGATGGTTTATTGCGCTGCTGATTCAGGCCTCACACAATACACCAAGTCAGACATCGCATTTCCACATCAGGTGGAGCTCAAAGTAAATCTCGATGAAGTCAAAGCCAATCTCAGAGGCTTAAAGAACAGGCCAGGAACTACACAACCTGCCGATGTAACCAACTGGATACGCAAAAAGCCCAATTACCCGAATAATATTGTCATGACTTACGCATTGACACAAAAGGTACGATGAATTCGTTCACTTTCTGCTTGGTAGAGCATCTGTTAAATTGATTGACTAACTCATTCTGCAGAAATTCTTTGCGCTAGCCAATCTCGTGAAGCAGCATCCGACTGAGGATCTTGTTTCACAGCTAAAGACACGGAAACTCATCTCGAAGGAGCAAGTCTTACGCGAAAGTAAGAAATCATCCTATCCTCTTAGCTTGTACTATGCTAATATATATCTCTAGTGCAAAATCGCGCAAATGACTCAGACATTGTTGCAACATCAAGTGTAATGTCACTTAAATGCCCTCTGTCAACCCTGCGCATCCAGGTGCCTTGTCGCTCTATCATTTGCACACACAATCAATGCTTCGATGCATCTTCATTCCTCGAATTGCAAAAACAAGCTCCAACTTGGACTTGCCCCGTGTGTTCCAAATCGACCAGCTTTGAGTCTCTGCAAGTTGACCAGTAAGTCCCACATTCCTCTCTTTGACATACCTGTTTCTTTTCCTGACTGATCGCATAGGTACGTTGATGACATCCTCCAGTCAACGTCACCGGACATCGATCAAGTCACCGTTGAGCCCGACGGTGTATGGTCAAGGCCCACTGATTCCGACGCGGCAAAATTGGGAGGGATGACTCCCACATCAGATGATGATGATGACGACGACTTGATCGAGATCAGCGAACCGGGGGTACCCGTTGTAAAACAGGAACCGGGACCCATGAACACCGCCCTGGAGCGAACACCTGCGCAGTCACAGTCGCAGTCACGAGAGGCATCAACCCCGTCCTCTGCGATGCGCATGTCCAGCAAAAAGCGACCTATTGCCCAGGTCATCGACCTTACTGAAAGCGGCGATGAGGATGAGTCTCCAGCTCCACCTCCTAAAAGGCCAGCTACAAGTCTGCCATCCCGAGCTTTTTCTCATCAAGACTACCATATCCCGCCTGCCAGCAGCCCTTTGAACGGCGGATCATACCCACCGTAAATATAGAATTTCATTCTATTCAAGCTTTCATCAAGCCGACGACCAATGCTGTGATCGTTTCTCTTTCTGGTGCATATTTCCATGGAGTTTCTGGCGGGGGGAGTCTTCAAGATATCACAAGTGACCATGTATCTACGGGGAATTGTATCTTTCTAGTTTTCAGTCAATTAATCCGAAAGTATATTGACCGTTACTCCATCATCCTGTATTTAAATAGCACATATGATTTATATTTTTCTGTACAGATCAAAAGGCGAAGTTATCAGGTGGATTCCGGGCCTGGAATTAGCTCAGACCCTCCCAGTTCCCCAAACTCCCTAACTCCAACTCCCCATTTTCCAGTTACCATCAACACGCCCTCATTCCGTACATCAACCCGGATTACTTGTTCATTCACTGGATTCGATTACCTTTCATTGGCTCTTTCATAATGTCATTCGATTCAACTTCCCCGTTAAATACCGATCCAAATGCCCGCGTCTTCAGCTCCTCGTGCTTCGACTTCCTACTCATAGAATTGGTACCAATGGCCGAGCGCATGGCAAGGGAACTCGCGACCGAGGGAAAGGACGCCGAAGACGAAGAAGTTAGAGAGACGACATTCTTTCGTCTAGAGTCTCTGGGTTATCGTGTTGGACAAGGCCTTGCGGAGCGGTAAGCCATAAACATCTCCATCTCCTTTTGCACCGGCCCCCTTTGCTTTTCTCTTGCATTACGCTAATATGTGTCGATCTCTATAGCTTTGCTCGAGACCGTCCTCGCTTTACCGACAATCTCGATGTGATCAAGTTTCTCTGCAAGGATCTGTGGACAGTCCTATTCAAGAAACAGGTGGATAATTTGAAAACAAACCATCGGGTATGTGCAATTCAGAGAGAACTGTTGTCGGGGAGATACGACATAACTGCAGTCTGCACTTGCACGGGGATTCTCATGAAACTAATGCCGACAATAAATAGGGAGTCTATGTTTTGACCGATAGCGCGTTCCGACCATTTGGGAGGATGAGCATGGCAGTACGGAGTGAAGCTGTATCCATGGCACAGGCAGTAAGCATATCCCCTTTGCAATCAATGAGGATATCTTGGCTTATATATTGAACCTAGTACCTCTGGTTTCCTTGTGGTATCATCCGGGGGGCGTTAGCCAATTTGGGTATCAACACGACCGTGCAGGCCGAGACCTCAGATCTACCAGGTGCAACTTTCCAGATCAAAACTCTCCAGCCTCGACCTTGAACATGAAAATGATTGCGCCTGGGCCTGGGCTAGCCCTTTAACCAATTTACGCCTACTGTATGACTTATGACAGTTCCTTGCAAACCCCTTGTGGTGCCTTCAGATTACTACAAGGATCATTAATCATTCCAGGTCTCTTGACTACAGCTATATGAGACAGGATACCGAAAACGCACTAATGTGGACAGTTAAATCTGTACTTCTTTCCATTTGCAGGTTGGTTGCTACATATATTGGTGTGCTAAACCTACCCATCTGATGGACCGTACAGTACTCATGTCTGCTCATTGTTCATAAACTCGTGGTCTCGCATCTAAAGCCTATCTTTCCGAGAGAAGATTGGTTAGCAACGCTCTGCTATTTTCCGGTGTCATCGCAGGCGTGGAGAAAACAGCGAGAAATGTACCGACAAAAAGAGACCTGATATATATGGTGGATAACGGACAGGGGGGAGGAAGCCTTACTTTGGTGCAGAGTTCTTAGCAAACTCAACGCCCTTCTCGATGTTGCCCTGAAGTCCCTTGACGCAAGCCTCAAGGAGCTTCTTCTCCTGCTCGGTAATACCGTCAAGGATGTTGATGGCCTTCTCGGCACCGTTGGGCTGGATCGAGCATGTCAGTTAGTTGTCTTAACACTCTGGAAAATTGAAGACTTACGCCGAGTTCCACGGGAGTGGAGAAGAATTCAAGACCAGTGGCCTTGGCAATCTCATCACCACCGGCAACACCGGGCAGGTAGACGAAAGTAGGCTCAACAATGCCCTTCTCGCCCTTGGCAGCCTTGATGACAGCCTCAGCGAATCTAGTATTTGTCAGTCACCGTGGTAGCTCCAGATTAGCGGGTTGAAACATACCTGAAACCGGCAAAGGCCATAGACAGAGTAGCGGAACCAGCACCGTCCTTGGCCTTGACGACCTCGTCACCTCCGAACTGGACACCTGTGGAATATCAGCAAATGCCTCCACGGAAAGGACTGTTCACATACGGTTGACGAGAGCATCGTAACGGTCAGCGGGGATCTGGAAGTTGGGGGAAACCTTGCTGAAGAGAGGAACAATGGTCTCGCCAGAGTGGCCACCAATAACGGGAACGGTGGCATCAGAGGCGTTCTTCACGCCGGAGAACTCCTGGGTGAAGGTCTCGGCACGAACGACGTCCAGGGTGGTAACACCGAACAGACGCTTGGGGTCGAAGACACCGGCAGCCTTGAGGACCTCGGCGGCAATGGGGACGGTGGAGTTGACAGGGTTGGAGATAACAAGGATGAAAGCCTTGGGGGCAAACTCGGCGATGTTCTCGACGAGACCCTTGACAATTCCGGCATTGACCTTGAAAAGGTCATCACGGGTCATACCGGGCTTGCCTAGATGTTACCATGAGCCGTTAGCTAAATATCACATGCCAGATCGTGGATATACTAACGGGGAATGCCGGCGGGGATGACAACAATGTCAGCACCGGTCAGAGCAAGCTTCAATCCATCATCCTTGGGGAGGTAACCAGTGATTTTCTAGTCCATTGTCAGCAGGCTTACTCACTATACTTCGAGGGTATACATACGGCAACCGAGGAGATGTGAGAGAGATCTGCAGCGACACCGGGGGTGTTGACAACATCATAGAGGGCAAGGTCATCGACGAGAGGGCAAGCCTTCAGCAAGAGGGAGAGAGGCTAGATGATTGATTAGATGATAATTCATAAGAGAACTTGGAAAGTTTTCTCCGGTGGGGGAGGGGTTAACATACCTGGCCAATGCCACCAGCAGCTCCGAGAACAACTAATAACGGATCAGCACATGATAGACCAAAGAGCCGAATAACATACCAGCCTTGACCATGATGAATTAGATGTATAGAGAGAAATAAGATGGGGTTGAGAAATGGGGAGAAGGGAAGCTGAGGGGACCGGCCGATTTATAAGAGGGGCAGAGCTCCCCCGGTGAGAGGGGCAACCCCAGAATTACGAGAGAGTGTTTATGTACAACATCCGATGTCCACATGTGAACTGACGATATTTCCCTTTTATGCCTTTATGCACCTTTATATTACTTTATTTGACTTTACTATGTTCGACTATTATTAGTATCTTCTGAATATAATTCCCCTGTTATTGTTCTTTCATCTACTCTCTATAAATCCTTCACTACAGGTACCAGACCAGGAACAAGCTTTTACCCTTTCTCCGGACTCTTCTCGGACCCATCTCTCCGGCAATTCTCGTCCTTTGACAAGATGCCTAGGCAGTTCCACACTTTTCTACCCTTCCTCGGGCTGCTCGGAACGTCATATCGGGAAAAGGCGGACTATATTCTGATATACAACCGGATATTGTGGCTCGGGCCGACCAGTCGGTAATGAATATTACTACTATACCGCCGGTAGTAGGAATTGTAGTCTTTTTTTTGGGAATTTGTTTTCTCTTATTTTAGAAGGCTTCGGACAGGACACTGGTCTTTTTTCTGCCCTTGGAGCAAGATTGCTAGATTATGATTTCCAAGTCCAGCATGGCGTTTTACATACGCCTATCAAGTCTCCCCTCCCCTCTCCCCCAAAATCCCCGATCCTTCATGGTCCACAATTCATCTTTATATCGAGACAAATTTACTCAGACTCCTCGGCCTTGTGGGCCTTGGCTCCACGGACCTTCTTGGCAGGGGTATCCTTCTTGGGGAGCTGCGAGCGGCGGACAGCGCTGACACGGGCAATGGCCTCCTCACGGAGATCAGCACGGTAGCCGTTCTTGGCGGTACGGTCGGCAACACCCTTGTAGATCCTGGAGAGATAGCCATCAGCATTGGGTTATGAAAGCAACATACGCCGTATGTCTTTAAATATCAATTCGAGAAATTGGGTGCCGCTTACTTGCGGGTGGAGGTCTTGGGGCCGTAGGTGACGGTAACCAAGTTCTGGCCGGGCTGCTGGGGGTTGCTGGGCTTCTTGGTGGTCACGGCAACACCGTTCTCAGTAGCCTGGACACCGATGGCCTAGAGATAAAATAGTTAGCGCCACAACTCTTTAGAAAGAGAAAAACATCAGCAAGTGCGGGGTATAATTACCTTGGTGTTGGCGAAACCGGCATACTATAATGCGCCAAAAGATACCGTGGTTAGCCATGTATTCCCGGAGAGCTTCGTCCATTCCGTCTAATCCTCGAGGTGCCCCGTACCTTGAAGGAGTGCTTGTTGACCAGGTTCAGGGGGTCGCGGGAGAAACGGGCACCACCGCCGGAGTTGCGGTTAACCAGGAAGGAGTTCTGGTTGCCTATTCCAAAGATTGATGAGCTTGAGTTCGATTTCCAAACGCTTCGACATAAAATCTCGAAAGGAAAAAATGCGCAGGGTCGGACGTACGGGTGATCTGCCAGACCAGGTCGTTGGAGATGTTTGAGACGGCCATTGTGATGTGAGGGGAGGTTGAGTTGGAGTATGAAAGATCGAAATCGCTATCAAAACCGTCTTCACGTCGATCAAATTGTGTGTGTCTGTAATGCCAAGACCTCAGATTGGACGGGGTCTCGCTAAGGCGGCTACTTTAGGAATAGACTTGATGCCTTGATGCCTGAATACTGAGACGTCTTGATGACCTAATAATTTTATGCCTGAATACCTTGTAGCCCGTTTAGTAAGGCAGAAACTGACAACTTCCGGCGACATCCAGGGCGGCTAGGCTGCCAACAATATGAACGCGATACTGACGTTGTCCCCTCCAGAACTCTCCTTCATAGTGACAACCACGTCAAATTTCCCATGCCTTCTTCCCCGACGGCTTCCTTGATGGGACACATCATCTCTTAATTCTTCTTTAAAGAAATACTCTCCAGAGCGCCAACCTCTCTTTCCCGCAATCCCGCAAAGCTCTATACTACGTTACTACTACACGCCGGAATCTTCACCGGCATCACTCATCATCATGACCTACATTCTCTTTTATTTCCTACTCTTTTCAGTTATCATCAGCGGAACAGGTAAGTCACGTGTCTTTACAACCGCAACGGCAGCAAAGCAATGATTTATAATGAATTTGGTTCTAATTATATTGTAGCGTTATACCTCACCCGGTCACGATGGATGCCGTTGGTCCAAGTGCCTGATTATATCTATCACCGCCTTCCCTCAAGTTTCACCGCCGATCTCGAGGCTGGCCTGAGCTCATCACAGTTCGACATTACTGCCAATGTTGCAGATGGGGATTCTAGGGCTGGCTTGGATCAACGAGCAAAGGCCGAAGTGTTAAAGATCATGAAGAGCCGAAAGGTCGACTTTGATGAAGCACGCAGGCTCTACACGGAGCAACGATTCGCAAAGAATAACATCGGACCTGACGGCCGGCCAAGGGATCCCAAATTCGTCTCATTTTCGTGATTCGTCTACTACAGTATCATAAGTTCCGGCGTGTTTTCTTGGTCATTGTCAGCGGACATCTCGCTAGCGGAATCCATACAAATAAAGGCCATGGCTTTTGTCCAGTAATATCTCGTTTGTGCTGTCGAACCGCTTGGGATACTACATACGATGTATCGCTCTGCAAGTGGCTTTATTGTGTCTGTAAATGGTGCTTGGCAATTGAAACATATTAAGTTGATGTGTTATCAAGATACAACAAGTCTGTCTGTTTTGTCCGTGTCAAGTACTAGACACTTAATATTACATATTACCAACCAGCGCCGCCAACAGCCAGCCAGCGCGGAGGCACGGTTTGATCAACCCCTCTTCCCCGCCACATAAACATGTTCGAGGTAACCACGCAAGAGGAGAACATCAAACACATGGACCAGCGCTCTGGTCCTTGGGTCATCAAATCATATCAAAAAAAATTCCCACCTTCCATAGTGTCAAGGGCATAGCTTTTGGGGGGAGGGGCTCTCAAGACCGAATGTTACTTCAAATCACCGACCGCCTCCGTATCCCGGCTGTTGGAAGCCCGGTGGCAATGAAGGGGCCCCAGCTGAAGGTCCAAATCCAGGCGGCGCAAACCCAGAGGGGGTGCAGCCTGTGGGACGAAGGGCGGTTGACCTGCACCATTAAATCCAGGTGGTAAAAAGGCCTGTGGGCCGCCGTAGCCAGCTTGGGAAGGCGGAGGTCGGGCGGGGAGCCCGGGAGGTGGGGTATTGAGTGAAGGGACGGGAGGTGGAACATGTCGGTTTGGAGGGGGGCGGCTTGATAGGGCATTGGAGGGGGTGCGTTCTGGTAAGGCATAGCGGGTGGCATAGTTGGTGGCATACCCCGATTCATACCTAGATCGGGCGTTTGTGGCGGGGCTGCGCTCATAGGTCGAGAGTCACCGCCAGGCGTTGCTGGTACGCCCGGGGCGCCAGGGAACTGCTGAGGTTGCTGAGCCACTGGCTGTACATTATGCTTGCGAGCCTGAGCTGCGAGCATTCGCTCTGCTTCATCACCATGTCTCTCGCCTTTCCCATCTTTCTTGTATGCATACTGTACGGAAACCTGTTTATTCATCAGGTACTGGCCATTCATGTTGGCGATAGCTGCGTCCGAGGATTCGAAATCTGCAAACGAAACAAATCCATATCCCTTGGAGAGATTGTTGTCATCACGAGCAATCTGTAATGATAAGAAGACTGTTAACAGTGTCCATCTTGTTTGTATTAGGGGGAGATCTCACCTTAGGCGGATTGACAAGGTTACCAAATCGACTGAAGGTATCGAAGAGAACCTGCTCGGCAACCATAGGATCAAGATTACCCACGAACAGCTCTGCGCCAATTTCCACAGTCTTTTGCTTATCGGCCGACGCCTTGTTAACACGAATAGGTTTGCCATGGAGACGGATCCCATTCATGATCTTTGACGCATATTCGGCATCTTCCTCGCTGAGGAATTCAACAAATCCATATCCTTGGTGTAACTGCGTGACTCGATCTTTTGGCAGATGAACGTTGACGATGCGCCCGACCTGCAGCATCAGTTCCCATACCAGGCTGTCTGTGACCCGTTCATCAAGGTTTCCGATGTACACAGTTGCCTCTTTATCTTGTTCCCTAGGTTTAGTTAGCTCCAGGGCCTTGTGGCGAAGAGAGGGGATCTTACCAATGCCTTGCGTTGGCCATGGTGAATTAATTGGAGAGAGAAAGAGAGGGAGTGAGGGAAAAAGCTCCCAGTAAAAGTAAATGACTCAAAGATCCAGTGAAAATCAATGTGCTAGGCAAGTCCTGTTAGTCTTACCAACAGAGTAGACTATTAGGGTAGTAGAGAGAGGTAACGAGGTGTGAAAGTGTTGATGTGAAGGAAAGCCGAAGCTGAGGGATGATCAGTGACCTTTCCCGAAAACTTTTGATTCCGCAAATCCTCCCCGTTTCCACTTCATCTATCAACCACCTCTCCCACCGTTCACTTGGATCAACTTTGAACCAATTTCAATTAATTCTTGATCTCCTTGAAACCCCCCAACTTCACTTAAATTCACAATGGTTCAATTCTCCGAGGAGACCAAGGTTAGTCGCAACCCCCGATCCTCCGAAGAGACCAGCTTTCTAACTTTATCTTTTTAATCTATTTAGGAGCGCGTCTCCAAGGTCATTGATATTTCCCGCGTTGCGATTCACTAGTGAGTCCTATAGCACCTTCCTGTCATCCTCCGAGCTGACCGGCGATAACCATCTAGCGGATACTTGCCTCTGATTGTCTATCTGGGTATGTATAGATCCTTTGGACGTTCTCGATGCAATATACTAACAATATGAAAATAGGCTACACCTACAGCGAGCCCAAGCCGACTCTGTTCAGGTACCGCTTCAACTCTTCGGGTTCCAGCTGTCGTGACTAACTTGATACCTAGATTGTTCTCGCCTCTTGCCTAAACTACGCGTTGACTGGAGAAATGATACGGGATAATGGATAGTATGGGATGGAAATAGCCCAGTATATTCTTGAACGACCCTTCAATTATTCCCTCTGTGAGGGGTGGTGGGTTTGAATATCTGGATGTCACCTTTTGCAGCTTGTGAAAGCTGGATGATTTTGTATTTTTAAGTCTTTGGCCGAATATTTGTCCGCTTTGGTACGGAAATGCTGTCACCTTATGGTAATTCGGAGTAAACACTGAACTTTGTAGAAATAAATGAAAAGAAACCAGGAGATTAATGTGCTTTGGGGTATGTGACTACTATAGTATGTACGCGGTTACTCGGCGGTCACATGTTCTGACGTTCTCTCAGATCTTCTATCTCCCGAGGTCATCTTCTCTTATCTTCCTCTTCTAATATATTTCTCTGTACACTTTTCTCTCTCTATCTTTGTCTCTGTGTGTTCAAATTTCCTACCTTCTTCTAAGGCAGGTTCATGACTGGTCAAGATGGCTTCTCGTCATCCTTTGTGGAGACCGTAGCGGGATTCACAGCAGGGATTGTGTCAACTTTGTCGCTACATCCTCTTGACATGATCAAAACAAGGCTACAAGGCAAGCTTCAATATTACCTTGGCCTCCCTTTGGGGAATACTAAACTCCAGTAGCTAACTCCGTTTTTGGTGTATGTAGTCGATCGATCATCTTCCCGGTTTGGTGGCTCAGTGCGAATCATTCGCAAGATCTTCTATAATGAGGGTGGCTATGCCGCTTTTTACCGGGGACTTACCCCCAATCTCATTGGAAATTCCACAAGTTGGGGTTTGTACTTCTTATGCTACAGCAGCCTGAAAGATATTATTCAAAGCCATCGCGAGAAGAGGGAGCAGATTCTCACGTCGTCTGATTATCTTCTCGCATCCGGCAGTGCAGGTATGCACATATCATGTTCAATTCAGCATTGTTCATCCGTTCTCGATTAACCTGTGGATTTCCATAGGCGTTATTACGTCGATCCTCACCAATCCAATTTGGGTGATCAAAACCCGCATGTTGTCAACGGGTTCGCATGCCCCAGGGGCGTATTCTTCGTTTGCGTCTGGGGCAAAACAAATATACCAAGTGGAAGGAATACCCGGCTTCTACCGAGGTCTCGTACCAGCCCTATTTGGCGTCAGCCATGGTGCCCTTCAGTTTATGGCATACGAGAAGTTGAAGCTTTTCAGACTCCGGTCGATGAATAAGGGCTCAATTGAGAGCGGTCATTTGGGCGCCGAACGGGCGCTGGGTAATGTTGATTTTTTTGCCATATCCGGTCTATCAAAAGTCTTTGCTGGCAGTGTGACATATCCTTACCAAGTAATTAGGTCCCGGTTGCAAACATATCAGGCTCATCTGATCTACCGTGGGGCCATTGATGTCGTTTCCCAGGTATGGGCCCAAGAAGGGATCAGAGGTTTCTACAAGGGTCTTGGTCCAAATCTTTTCCGGGTACTTCCAAGCACGTGGGTGACCTTCCTGGTATATGAGAATACCAAGGTCTACCTATCCCGGCTGGCACAAAATCCAAATATTTCCTACTAATTCCTGTTCGCACTTATATCAATTGGATCTTACTAAAGATCACCTACTTTAGGCTCTATAAACTCGGTAGTATCTTTATTTAATGTTTAGTCCTAAAGATCTCCTTGTTATTAATCCAAAAGAAACGAGCCTATTCGATATAAAGAAGAAGCTTGCATACTTTTTAATAAAATATTATACATTGTGATCAATAAAGTATCCATGGATCGATACATAGAAACATGCCCAGATGGCATCCATCCCGAGTCTTCGAAGCTTAATAGTTTGAGATTTGACTATACATATCACGAAGTATCGAACAAACACCATTATTTAACATAACTGTTAACGTAGCAGATTAAAGAATAGAGTGACACGTTCATAATCAACATCTGACCCAGGGGGGCCAGATTTCGGGACTCCTCTGGCCGGCCCAGCAATAGCTTCCAAGTCAACCTTCGTCATACCAGGGTGCAGATGAATATCATATGAGTGTGTATTTGCATCGCCCGATGAATGTAGACGTTGTATACCCATAAGTGCGACCATTTTTACCTGTCGCTGGGTAGTACTGGGCGCTAAACGAGGCCTGACCGTCAGTACATTATGCGATGGAGGAAGATGGACTGTGATATTCTGTTGTGAAAGAATCGACGAAGGCGGGATATCTAAGCAAAAGTCGTGTTGCAACGACAAAGAGGCATGTGTAAGAATTCGAACATTACGGATCAGAGCCATCCTTGGTTCTAGTTCGTAGTTAGCTAGAAGTCCCATCAATATCAGTGGGAGTCAAACCTTGGCCTGATCGCCTCAAAATCGAATCCATGGGCGATGAGCTAAAATGCGGCTGGTAGGGAGCATGGGCTAACAAGGGGTCAGCAAAGGCTGGGAGCCGAGCAATATCTTCGCGAGGCGACAATATTTGTACTAGGCGTAACGTACCAGAACCTGAAGATGAATACCGAGTGACATCTGAAGAGGCATCAAAAGAAGATGCATTGGGTGCATTTTGCGAGGTGGACATTGCCAGGGCAGTTGCATTTGTCGCCGAGCTCGGTAAACCTTGCGCACTCGTGGAGCCATTCTGTTGTTGCTCTGAGACAGATGGTGTGGTTGTTTTGCTCGTCCTGGAACTGTCAAGTTGCCCTCCAAGAGACCATCCTCGAGAAGATCTACTGATTTCTTGACCTGCTAATCCAGCTCCGGCAATATCTTGCTTATGGCCTTGGGATTCGATCTTGGATGTCTCATCTGAGGGTTGTCCATCGTCCTTGGATATAGTATCGGAACTCTGCCCAGGCATTTTCAATGTTAACCTCTGCGCCGTTTGGGGCACAGGTGTGCCCACTTTCAGTTTGATGCGAGAAATCTCAGGGGTTCCATCTACCTGAGGGGGATTCGGAACAAGCTTTTTGGCTTCCGCAACCCGTCGGTGGAAGTGCTCCTAGACCTCTAATTTCAGCATGCCAAAGAGGGCGAATAGCAAGAGCGTCGCGGTATAGACTTACCTCCAAAACTCCCGCGAGAATAGCAATATCGCTGTCATCTTCGTTGTACTCTCTAGCATTTCGCCATACATAGCTGACCTCCTCTTCGAAGGACTCCCATGTAGGATATGCGGTCTTTCTGGATGAATTCTTCCTGCTGTCTGTACCACGGACTCTCTTTTGGATGCTCCGCAAGGACACGGGATGTTGAATGATCTCATAATAATCGCGATACAGATTCCGGTCTGGTTTTCCAATGAACGGGTAGGAAACATCTTCGCCACTAATTCAGGGGATCAGCCTTGAGCAAATGATTGGGATCAGTGATACCTACTCGGAATCTTTGAGCCGGGTCAACTCGGACATAATCTTGTCCTGTGCAGTCTGAAGGCTATCCCCTTCAAAATCTACCTCGGACTCAGCTTCGGCTTCGGACTCGGCCTGCGAATCCGGGGTTTGATCTGCTTCGTCTGGTGGCTCTGAGTCCAGATGCGACGACGCACGATTTGACTCTTCGGGAATGATATCATCGTCCTATCACACTCGCCGTAGCTTGAATTAGCGATTGAAGCATGCGATCCAATCTAAATGCGCAGAGAAACGATATAGGATAGTATATAGACATTTGAACAGTGTAGCTCCAATTGCCATGGTCACAATGTTGCGACAGGCCTCCATTCAAGTGTCAAGGACCAGCCGATAGATGGCAATGCAGAAAAATGATACTTACGGAAACCTTTCGGCGTTTCGTTCTACGAAACTTCATATCTGGGGAACCTGCGGCGGCCGCTCGTCGTTTTGAGGTCATCTCGGATTACTGCTGATAACGTCCCGAGTCACGAGTCGAGTCACACATTGAGGATAGTAATATGTGACTGAAGACCACAGGGGGACTGGAAATACAGATTTAATAAATAGAGGGTCAAATTGATTGGAAGAATTACAAGTAGTGGTAGAGTATGGCAAAGGGAGGCATTCGCATAGACATTCCTCATCTCAGACGTGTTGCAGACGCGTCGGCGGAGCCATCCCGCCTTAGGTAAGGTGGCTCCGGGGTATCATACATACATGTATGTATGGTACTGAACTGTATCTACCGTTACAAATATCAGAGACCATTCAATATTTGAATGTAAGTTCAAATGTTTGTCTGCGCAACTTCCTTGTAGTGCAATTTCTATATCTTTGTAATTATAGTCCTGATTACGCACTGTAAATTGAGGGTTCCTGAGGTCTTGGGTTTGGTCACGTGGTTGAATATTGGGTTGACACCTGAGGCATAAAATCGTTGTTTCCCCCCCCCACTATTTTCTGAGTCCCGCAAAACAAGTCCCGTTGATTGTTGTTTCTACAACTCACAACTCTTTTCTCTATCGCATCACACACTCGCCTGATCACTCATCCTCGCGAATTTGATTCCTCAATATCAGATCATCTTCCACAACCTTAGTGCCCCCATCAGAACCCTGTGAGCGTACGTTTCAGTTGTCACTCCATGTGATAATCATTCAGCCACATTATGAGCCACATTCAAGCTACTTGAGTGTTGCTTGGACACATGGGGCAGACTAACACTGACAATCTGTATAGCCGAGCGATCTTCGTACTGCCATTTTTCTCATTTCGCTATCCCAATGGACATCGACCCAGCTAGGCGCAACAAGAAGCCCCGCCTCCTCTTGGAGACGGAGCGCGAGAAACTTGATGAATTTGTGGACTCTATTCACTACTCTGCGAGGTGAGGACGCCATGCCATTGCGGTAGACACCCCCATTGATCCCTCGATATAGATACAACGATGACAAATTCGAATACCGCCATGTGCAGCTCCCAAAGAACATGCTCAAAAAGATCCCCGCAGACTACTTCGACAGCGCCAAGGGCACTCTGAAATTGCTTTGGGAGGAGGAATGGCGAGCTCTGGGCATTACACAAGTATGTCGAACATGATTCGAGGATGTTCATGGGTTCTAACAATGTTCGCGCAGAGCTTGGGATGGGAGCATTACGAGGTGCACGAACCTGAACCTCATATCTTGTTATTCAAGTAGGCTATTTGCGAACTGCTCCCTTGGCTGTGTCACTAACCGTCTTGTAGGCGCCCGCTCAACTACCAACCCCCTCTGCAACAATAAGTTAGTCATTTGATCGGCGGCGTTGTGCTTGGAAATATGAGCAGTTGAGAAGACATTGCTTTATGGTCGTTAGGCACACGCGTTCGCAATATTGCTCATTAGCGTCCACAAAAGCTTCATAATTGAAGTCCTGGAATGAGACCAAATTCCATTTTCTCCTTACCCGCCATTTCATTGACATGCTAGACCAGGCCCACTCTCTATTATGCCACACGGAAGACCAACACCTGTCTTGTCACAGACACCTGGACTGTTCTAGCATGACTATCAAGTCGCGTTTTTGGCCGATCTCCCCACTGAACAGTGGAGAGACTGCTACTGATGCTGCACTTCTCCACTCCCTGAACTTGATGTGAACATCTTGAAATATCATCCCGGTCAAGTTATCTTACATTAAGAATACCGTGGATGAGATATTGACCTCCTCTGCTTGGCCCCTCTAGCCGATATCAGAGGGAAAACAGAGACCAAGTATTTGCAAAAAGGGCGAACAGATAGATGCAAACCTGGGCCATCCACTTGATATTGTTGGTCGTTTGGTTTCCAGCTTTAGTTGCCACCCCGGATATTTCGCTCATGATTAAGAATCAAGTAACTTATTCTCTCGTCCATTCCCACGCTGTCTGCAACCTTTGCTAGTCGATCGTATGGTTTTTTTTTTCGCGCATCTACTTTGTCACACTGAAAAAACACGGTGTATTGCACTAGATAATGGCTGATATAAGGATCGGACTATACCTCTGGAGGTATTCCGACGTCTTGGTACTGATGTAGATATATATATGTATTTCCAATAGCTCTCTGAAAGGGCCATTTAAGTCCGGGCTTGATCATCCTATGTAAATATCAACAGCGCACCCGTCCACGGACGGGCACAGAGGATATTAATAACCCTCACAGTCATGGCTGCTTATGCATAAATCTAGAAGTTCACGGGTGGTCTCAAATGTGTGTTGATTCCTTTTAAATAACTACGGAAAATATGTATTTACATGGTATAAATACAGAGATCAAGGTAAAGGTTTCTCAAGTTCAACACACATTCCATGAACCCGAAGGGAGCCAGCCCGATATGCTTTGAACCTTGAGACGAAAACCCTTGGAAGTCCCGGGTATATGTGATCAACTTCCCAATGCCTTCTGTCTCCTCATGTTCAGATCCTTCAGCGTCATTTCCACTGTTCGCCATTCACGCTTGGCTGGATCATACTCGCCGCTCACTTCAAATCGACAAAATCCGTTAGGCCCCTTCATGCCAACTGGGCCCGTGATATAGAAAGCCCCACGGCGAGCAGAGCTTGGTGCTAAGGCTTGTTCATGGTTCAATCGTAATTTGAATGCCTGTGATGCCAAGTGCAAATCCGATCCCGGACCTAGGTCCGGTAATGGCAGCCGCTGTAATAACGATATTAGGGAGGATGGGTGGTAGTTGATATTCTCGGTATTAGGCGGCATGTTTTCCTTGAGCCTGTCGTTCAGGGGTGGTTGTAGCTTAGATTGATCTTTTTGGCCAATCCAGTTCCCACTCTCGTCTCCAGGCGCGAAAGAAGACCCATTCAAGAAATCAAAGGAATCCAGCGGCTCCCCTGTGGGTTTTCTGAAGCGATCCAGTTGCCGTAGTAATATTACCAGATATGCGTCTCTGATTGCCAAAGCAACATGAACTGGTTTCATGAAGTTCTGTAACCTGTCACCCATCTCGGGGTCCATCGGCTTTGTGACCCATGATATACTGCCGTTTTGAATCTCGATCCTGTCTACTGTCAGTATAAGAACCAAGCGTTTAGGGACTAGGAGTACATACCCCGATCGCACATATCCAGGAGGGGCACGATTTGGAAACTGATGGACAAGCCAGGATCCTGTGAGGGAAAGAGGCTCCCCGAGTATCGGTTCCATCTGCTTTCCCGCATTATCTAAAACGATTGTGGCAAGTTCATCTGAACTCGTAAGCGAATGATCTTGAGCGGGGGAGTGAATCGACTCCTTACCTCTAAGCCTCTCAAGCTTCTCGTGATCCTTGGATAACTTCACAAATACCTGCCACTCTGGGTCCATTATAGTGTACAGCTCGCCCTGTTGTAACCGAGACCAGGCAAGCGGTATGAACATCGCACCATCGTTTTCGACCTCTTTCCCGGTGATTTCGCCGCTTTCCGAGATTTGACGCGGGGATGCCTCCGCTTGGTTGGTTACAGGAGGTATATCATCATCGTCGGTATCGTCGTCAAATCGCACCAGTACAAAGGTGCTCCAGAGGTGGAATGCGGTGCCGTAAAGAAGGCATTTGGATATGAACGACCTGAGAGATTCTGCGTCAGTCTGACCAAAAAGATCCTAGGTTGGCTTCAAATGAGGCTCTATACCTTATCCAAGGCCGCCTAAACCTCACATGTCGCACATTCTGTGGGTTTGACAAGTTGGAACGAGCGTATGTAGGACTGAAGAGAGACGAGCGCGCGCGAGAACTTCGAAGCAGATACCTGAGCCGGAGCATTGGGAAAAGCCAATCCCTGCAATGATTCTCACTAGAGTATCATCTCAAATTGGAGAAAAAGGAATGGACAGAATCCTTGAAGTCTGATATGCACGAGGATTTGCGTTGCGAGGCTGTCAATGGCAATCGGCGATTTGGTCGATTATGTAACATGCGGCGCTACAGACCGGGGCCCGGACCTGGTACACCCAGTATGTACATACACTATGTAACATGGGTACATATGTACTTGTGATGATCTATAGGAATAAATGCCACTACAACCGGATAAAATTATGGGCTAGAAATTACTGATATGGATATTACATCCAAAGGAAATATTTGGTTGAACAATGAGCTGTGTCAGCTGTTGTACATACCAGACCACGTGATATCTTTGCCATATCTTATCGGCTGTCCCCCAAGTCCTCCGTAACCAAGTGGTATTCTGTCCTTGACTCCTCGCCATCGTACTCAACAAAACTCCTAATACTCCTAGAGGAGAATCTTGATGTGGGAATTGCCACATCTGCCAAAATAGTCTTGCCTTACCCCCGCGCCCTCCCGATTCTACCAATATGCGCTGGGTGTCCGCCTTCCTTGCCCTGGGATTAACAGGTGCATTGCAAGCAAATGCACTGGATGCTACGATCTTCACGTTTCCTTCTAAGACTTCAAGCTCTTCAGCTTCTCATTCCCAACAACAAACAATATCAGAAGATGAGGCCCGGCTTGTCTTGGAGCTTCGCATGAAGTCCTCTGTAGCATCGGTCCTTGGAACAGTGAATGCAGACACTGTGAACCAATTGAATCATTTTGCTCAAGATGATATTACTCTCTTTGGGGGAGCTACTGGGGGGGCTGTTTCCCAGAAAAGCATCATTGTTATGGAAGGAATCGACCAGGAAGCTGGTAAGTGGAAATGGAAGCGGACTCGCACTTGACTAGGAGGTATAGCTAATGGTTCTACAGCCCTAGTCATGCAAAAAGCCCAACCAGAGCATCTTCACATTCCTCGAATTTCCTCTCCCTTTATCGGATTTGATATCCTGGAGTCATTCATCGAAAGCAGCCCCACCGTGAAGGGGGGCCGTGGACACGTTTGTACATACTTCAGCGATGCTAGCAAGGCTGCCTCATCGACATCCCAGGTAACAAAGCCAACTTTAATGATCTTCAAATTCCCTCGCTAATCTTCCGATTACCCCAGACTCCTAAGGAATGCCTATCCAGGGATCCCATGTTTACCGATGAGTCTGATTTGCTCGCCCGTGACATCCTTACACTGGTTGATTCAGTGGAATTTTGGATGAGCAAGGATTACAAGGATTCAGCTTTGAAGTTGTCTTTTAAGGTACCGAGTTTTCCCTCCATAACCGGTGAATTATTCCTAATTCAACGTCACCAATTGCAGAAAGCCTCAAGCGATTCTCTTCTTGGGACTAAGTTCCTAGAGACATTGCTTCTTCACCTAGCCAAAATCTCGTCGACTAGCAACCGAGAAATTACAACTCTCGTTCTACCCCCTGGTGTTAAATCCGAAGGACTTAGCCACCGAGACGCGAATCGATCATCGGCACCAGTCGCCCAACTGAATGCCTTCAAGAGGTCGACGCCGAATTCTGCGCTGCCGCTGCACTCAACCCTAGCGCCTGTCTGTCATGCTTCAAACTCCTCGTGTGCCGAAGCTACCAATAACTGCTCCGGACACGGTTCCTGCTATCTGAAATACGGCTCGGGTGCTGAGGGAACTATTGGCAATTGTTATGCATGCAAGTGCAAGCAAACTGTTGTCCAGAACAGCGATGGCACCACCAAGACAGTTCAGTGGGGTGGGGCGGCTTGTCAGAAAAGGGACATCAGCTCACCTTTCTTCCTTGTTGCAGCGGTCAGTCTACTTGCCATTCTTCTCGCTGGTAGTGCGATTGGAATGCTTTTCAGCATGGGCTCACAGGAGCTACCCAGTGTCATCAGCGCTGGTGTAGGAGGCCCCAAGTCTCAGATGTGAGTATGTATGTAGAAAGCTATGTAGGTGTTAAGGGGTGTTATATTTTTCTTTCGCCGTCTTTTTAAGGGCCATGGCTTCATGTTATTTACCTCATTTATCCCTTAACCTATAAGCATTGCTTTTCTTTGTTTCTGATTCCTGCTTTCCTGCGTTGCATCAAGGAGAAACCTCCATGGTTGGGAGGTTCAATACAGCAGTACACACATGTAAGATGACGCGAACTACATATGTATTTTAGAGAGCACGTGGCTATATCCAAAAAGAAAATATGTTGTATAGCATGTACAAAACAGTACTCTGTATGTACTCTGGTTTACGCACCAAGAGACATAGATGTTCAACAAATACACAATCCATTCAGCCCCTTAAATGGACCAATAATCGGGGGGTGAGGGGAGAAAGAGTAGCTGTTGGTAGCATCGGTAGCGCCATATGACAGATTTTCTCACAGCATGAGATATGGTGAGAGCGAGACAAAGATAATTCGTAAATATCCAACCGAAAGGAAAAAAAATATCCGTATGATCCATATGCGCCCCAGTCCTCGTCGCGCAAAAATCGATAAATTACACATATCAAGTCATAAACAAGGAAAATAAAACCCCAACCAACATTCCAGATGTGGTTCCGGTGTGAAGTATTTTGAAGATTAGCCAAATCGTGAACGGGTATGAAAGGGGTATCTGTCAAAAGATCTGTCATGAGGTACCAGCTTCGACTTGACGAGGTGTGCGTCCGTCCGAAGGCAGAGGATCCACAGGTGAAGTCCCAACTTCAGGTGGTGTGCGCAGTCTTCTTGAAGAAGAATGGAGGGAAGACCGGCGGAACCGAGTAGGAATCAATCGAGACCAGATAGATCGACCCGAAGAATCCGAGATATGGGCAGAGTCCCAATGCTGATCATGCTCACCCCGCACATGTTGCTCTTGGACTGGAGATATATCTCTTTCCCCTGGGGATGTTGATGGAAATACTCGGCTAGGAAAGCCCATTTGAACCCATCCATTTCCCCTAGCACTATTCCAAGCAACTCGAGGAGGTCTGAGAATTTCATCTGGGCGAGTCGAGGCTGTACGACCCTGGCGATCTGTGGCAGATTGTGCTTCTGCCTGTGGACGGGGTTTGGGAACATAGTAATCGGCCTTGCACAGAGGACAACATGCTCTTCTGCTAGTCAGCCAGGGGTCGACACATGAGGCATGGAAAGCATGTCCACATGCAAGTCCCCGGATATCATCATCATCCTCAATGATATCTAGGCAAATCGCGCAAGAATCGCCAGGGTTTGGCAGAAGATCAGCAGGAACAGCGTTACGAATGTAGGCATCATCATGGTCCTCAAGATCAATGTTCATGTTTTCATTGGTCAAAGAATGTTGCCATTTCTCTCTCTGGATACCTTCACTGGTGCATTGCTGAGTAGAAGGCATCTCAGATTCTTGAGGACCACCATGTAGCTCTTGAGTGAGGATTTTTGATGTATCATTGGAATCCACCCGTTCATGGCCCTTGGTGGATGGTGATATTGTATCCGTGTGAGCCCCAATCGATGTTGTCATGATATCACTTTCATCTTTTAGGCTCTGTGGTCTGCTATTCGGAGCTGTGATACCTCCTTCTGTTGAAAGGCCCTGGTTGGCGCGAGATGATCTCCACACTTTGTACTTGACAAGTGGAAACCGCCCGTTGACTTCATCCATCGTCATTAGCTTCTTCTCCCTTCTCCTGCGATGAGGCCGTGGCATAGTGGCCAGATCTATGGGTTCCCCTACTTCCTCGCTGCGAAGCTGTCGATTTCGTTGGTTATATCGAAAGCAATATTTGACTCCAACTATGATCCTGCCATGACGGTCAGATGCCATTCCTGGAACGTTGGAAGGCCGGACAGAGGAAAGATGAAGTGACATACCATAGATTTGTGAACACAACACCAAACCCAAGAGCGACGAAGAACAGTAAAGGTGAGCTCGTAGCGTTACTTGAGCCCGAACCTTCTCCGCCGCTACTAGCAGCAGTGGTGGCAGCACTGCTAGAGACTGAGGTTGGTGTTGAAGACATTCCGACTTAGGGTCGATATGAAAATTATGGCACCGATCCACCTCGGAACGTGGCCACTTGATTATTGTTGGAGTCTCAGTTGCCCCGAGATCGATCCTTCATGCCTTGAGTTGTGTGTACAGGGCAACCCTGTATGTAGATTTCGGGCTCGACTCCAGCAGATTAATCCCAAGGCGGGATGGTGAATGTGACTAGGAACGATCCAAGGTATGTACCCATGCGACAGGACGGATATTCGAAGGTTAAACTTGATGGCCTGTGGATGATCGACCGTAAGCAGAACACACAGAACTTCCTGCAAAGAGAAGGTGAATGCCGAGAGTCGATCTCATATCATTATCAGTAGCAACCGGGGAAGGAGCCTGGACGAGGCGAAGAGATCTGGGGAGACGGAGACAGAGAGAAAGAGATAAAGTGGATCAGGGCAGGATGGAGCCAGGCTCCTTGGTTGATTTAAGGATGCATGCGGGACCACCGAACTGACACCTGAGGCTGGGAATCACGGGACTTTGTATTGTTCGAGTCTCAGATACCTCTAGTTGACAGGGGTTAAGAACTGAATCAAAGGTGTAAGGTACTTCTGAATACATACAGGGGATGAGACCAGGGTTGATTTGCCCCCTTTTCTTCTTTTCATTTGACAATAAATTGTTGTCCACGGGTGTATTGCATATTTATTGCATAGCCACATTTAAACGTACATATAATGGCGGCCTGCAGCGACCATAGGAGACTTCAACTATCGGATACTGTAAATACATACATATGTACGAAGTGCACATGTTTACATTATACATATACGCGTCACTACTACTCTATAAATCGATATACATTTGTACTCTGTATAGAGATGTATGCAGTGCTCCGTACATTGTATAGTAATACCACTATGCATTAACCCCATTTGTAAAACAATACTCTCAAGTTATGATATGGATAAGATATGTACGGAGTATCAATTCAGTAGTTATTAGTTCAAATTTTATAAATATAGACTGATTGAAGAGGTGTTAATATAAATATGTACATATAACTAACTACATGTAAACTATATTAATCTACCTAGGTAGTTGTAAAGGCTGAGTTCCAAGGTTGCCTTTACAACCTGAGGCCACCCTTGGTACCTCAGGAACCTTCAAATGTACTTAGTTTTTCTTTCATACTTGCAGGAACTAAGGGGTTCTATCATCATTACTCCGATACTTCTATAGAGTTATCACGATAACAAGATATAGGGGAGATTACATAGAGAGGAGGACCCTCCTAATATACTTCTCTTTAGCAAGTATTAGTCTTTGTGTGAAAGAATACAATACGTTAGTCCCTCTATCAAAGCTGATTCGCCTGGCCAACAGTACTGGCCTGTAAAACAGTATTCTATCGTTATACGATTCGATCTAAAGTGAGAAGGTTACTCTATAGAACCTTCAGCAAGTTTCAAAATACTGACGTAGTTATTCTATCTCTGTATCAACATAACGTATCCTCAGCTATCACAGTATTTATTGCTAGATATACTATAGACTCAGACTCTAAAGTTTATCCTACGGACAGCGCTTTTTTGATTCCGTTCGCTTCGCGTCCATAGTCACAATCTACTAGATCCAAGGAAATTCTCCTTAAGTGTCTAATTATCCTATACCTATTGTCGGATATATACAACACCAAGGTATAGATCAAGTTACTAGGTATATATATATAAGTCCCTGTGTTATATACCTCTGTCTACCGTCCTCTGTCTACTGTCTACCGTCCTCACTTCCAATATCGTCTACAATATCGTCTACAGTATCTTCCCTCTTATGACCTAGCTAGCTCCGAACAGAGACACCAACTTATTCGAAAAGAAGAAGGGTGGCGAACAATAAGACCAAGGGTTTAGGGAACAGGGATAATAATAGATTTATATATATATATATATATATATATGCTCCGTAGGCTGCAGACCAATATAGACAAGAAATCAACTACTATACAACGGTCTATCCGTCAATCAACTGTATACTAGTATAAACCTCAAATAAACCTCAGACAAACCTCAAATAAACTTCAGATAAACCTCAATATCCTTAGATAAACTTGTAAACCTCAAATAAGCCTTGAACAACGTTGATTAAAAGTCGAATCAATATAAGATAGATATATTACAAGTATTTTAACGACAGTATCAGAAGGATACCTGAAAGCCGTCGGTTCCGAAAATGTTTACAACAGCTTTGTTTTTTTAAACGACTTCGTTTTCAAAAACAAAGTAAATTTAAAACAATGGTTGCGGGTGTATCTTTCTAGAAAAACCGTTGATCAACGGTCGATAAACCGTTTTCTGAAACCCCATTCCTCCCGTCATGTAGGCTTGGACATTTCACGCCCTTTTCACTATCTATATTTTACCAATTTATCTTATTCTTCTAGGATACATATACCTATACTCCGTATATATTAATTGTGCTCAGCAAAATAATAATTTATCCTATATCAAATATAAAAAAGGTCACATGGCCGCTACACCGCTCTGTACTTGCCGCCCCTGGTTCACATGCGAGGGAAATCAGATATCTACATGTATTGATCCAAATACAGACTTCTCTCTTCAACACATCACTATGGCTAAACCCAATCCAGTTGTTTTCTTCGATATTGCCCTTGGAGGTAAGTCAGTCTAGATTTGCATGCTCTGATGGCCTAGCCATCTGAGCACTCATCTGGCGAACTCTGCTAAGTAATATAATTTCAGGCGAGTCTCTAGGTCGAGTGAAAATGGAGTTGTTCGCCAATGTCACCCCACGGACCGCGGAGAACTTCCGTCAATTTTGCACTGGTGAGAGCAAGAACGCCAAGGGACAGCCCCAGGGCTACAAGGGGAGCAAGTTCCATAGAGTGGTATGTAATAAAAGTTTTTGGGTATTGATGCGGGACTAATGCTCGCTGCAGATCAAAGATTTCATGATCCAGGGTGGAGATTTCATCAATGGCGATGGAACTGGCTCATGTACCATCTACGGCACTTCGAAATTTGCCGATGAAAATTTTACTCTCACACATGACCGTCCTGGTTTATTAAGTATGGCTGTAAGTTTGAATACCTTGAGACTGAGGAGGCATCTATCCACGCGAAAAAGGATTTTTCACTGACAACAACAGAATTCGGGCCCGAACACCAATGGTTGCCAGTTCTTCATAACAACCACGGCCACACCATTCTTGAACAACAAGCATGTGGTCTTCGGCCAGGTGATTGATGGGATGGACATAGTTAAGATGCTTGAACACACTCGTACTACCAAGGACAAGCCTAACCAAGATGTAACGATTGTCCAATGTGGAGAGATGTAACGACGTGATATTTGGGAAACAGCTACATCCTACAGATATGTAGTTCGCAGAATTGCGAGAAATGAATTTGAATCATGGAAACATATCAATTTCATATGGCTCTAATAACCAGGACTATTTTTTTTTTTTTTGGATATTTCATACTTTGTAATGGTTGGCACAGACGTGATATCTCCTTCGAACAAAAAAAAAAACTCTTCGTAGAATTCAGTCTCTAGATCTAGTCTAGAGCTTGAACTTATTCAGATAATCGGCAGCCAGTGAGATGGCCTCCTCAACCTTATCAGCGTTGGTACCGTTACCAATCGAAGTAGGTCCCTTTCCTCCTGCTTTGCCTCCCACGGCGCCAGAGACAACGGCGGCCCACTCGCTTGCCGAAGCACCTTGGTCACTCAGTCCCTGTGTCCGAATTAGTATAAGAATCCCCAAGTAGTAATATTTCACGGATAAGACTGATGCGTCCTGCTACTCACCTGAGAGACGAAACATCCGTGTGCAACCCGACCTTGTTCAGAGTCGGCCGCCAAAAGATAGACACTCTTGCCCTGCAGCTTTGATTTGACATGGTTGAGGGATTCACTGACGGCCTTAGAATTGGCGGAGATCGGAAGCTGGACCACAAGCCACGACTTGTCTTGGTTTTCAGGAGCCTCGAAATAGGAGTTGATAGCGTCGAGTGCTTTCTTCGACTCCAGCTTTTGTTGGGCCTTTTGGCCATCGAGGACCTGCTTGTTGATCTTGGCAAAACGTTCGCGGAACTTGGCCTTCTGGACGGCGGAAATTGCAAGCTGGTTGAGATCCACCTGGACTTGCTTAGCCTCCTGCTCCTTTTTGGGGCCCAAAGGCAATGCATTCAGCTGATCAAGGCGCTGTCCGAATTCCTCGGCAACTCTCTGCACTTCATGTGCATCCTCTCCAGTAACAGCAATAATTCGGCGAATTCCCTTGGCAATGCCGCTCTCCTCTAGGATGATCAGATCCTTGATATCGCCTGTTTTCTGGACATGAGTTCCACCGCAGAACTCAATGCTGACTTCTTGCCAGCGGGGATCCTTGACATTCTTCAGGATTTCCTCCAATTCCACACCGACAGAAACAACACGAACAGGATCGGGGTAAGTCTCGCCGAATACGGCTCGAACGCCGGAAATTTGTTGGGCAGTGGCGAGCGGAAGTTCTTTGGAGTAAACGGTACAGTTCTGTCGGATATACTCAGTGGCCTTGGCTTCGATCTTCTCGAGCTCGGCGTCAGAGATTGCGCTCTTGTGGGAGAAGTCAAATCGAAGCTTCTCGGCGGCTACCAGGGAACCCTTCTGATCAACACCATCGCCTAGGATTTCCTTCAAAGCGAAATTCAGGATATGGGTTCCGGTGTGGTTATTCCGGATGGGCCAGCGTCGGAGCTCATCATACTCGCAAATGACAGAATCGCCGACAGCAAATGATCCGTATTTCATGAAGCCAGTGTGTAGAACGTATCCGGCATAAGACTGTACATCGCCAACTTCAAGCTCCGCTTGTCCGTCAATGATGATTTTGCCTGTATCATTTTCCTGACCACCCTGTTCGGCATAGAAGTTCGTACAGTCGAGAATGACGCCAAGCTGTGCTCCCTCGGGAATATCGTTAGTGCTACTATGGAAAGTTTTTCCATGGTAGATAGCCTTGACGTGAGAAGTGATGTTGCCTCGGCCGAATTTAGGCGAATCATCCGTTTTTTGTACGTCGTTCATTTTTTCCAGCTTGCCTAGGTCATGGACGTCAAGCTTAACGGTGTCCCCAGCAGCCTTCTTCTGACCCTTGCTGGCTTCCTTCGCCTTCAAGCGAGCCTCTTCAAACTCAACATCATCAATGCGGAGGCCACGTTCCTCGGCCATGATTCGAGTCAGGTCAACTGGGAAGCCGAAGGTGTCGTACAATCTCCAAACATCGGCACCATGGAGCATATCGGTATCCTTAAGTTTGGCCTGTTGAGCGTATTGCTCGAATTGACGCTCACCTCTATCCAAGGTCTTAGCAAATGACAGCTCTTCCTCGTCTAGGATTTCGATGACATCTTGCTGCTTGCGCTTGAGTTCAGGGAACATTTCACCCAATTGATCCACAACAGTCGGCACTAGCTTCGCGAAGAAATTCCCAATATCGACCTGGAAATATTTCCGGGCATACCGAGCTCCTCGGCGCAGGACACGGCGAATCACATAACCACGGCCCTCGTTGTTAGGAATAACACCATCCGAGATAGCGAACATCAAAGTCCGCACATGGTCTGCAACAACACGGTAGGCTGTGTCAATTCCATCGACATCATCGGCGCCAAAGTGGCCGCGGTATTCCCGGGCCCCAGTGGTATCTTGGATAGCCTGGAAAATCGGAGTGAAGACATCGGTATCGTAGTTGGAAGATTTGTCCTGCAGAATCGACACCAGTCTTTCGAAGCCCATTCCGGTGTCAACGTGTTTGTTGGGAAGGGATCTCAGGGAGCTATCCGGCTCGCGGTTATATTGGATGAAGACGTTGTTCCAAATTTCCAGCACATTTGGGTCGTCCTGGTTGACAAGGTGAGCGGCGTTGCGCCCGCCGATCCGATCATAGTGCACTTCGCTGCAAGGTCCACATGGGCCTTGGTCGCCCATTTCCCAGAAGTTATCTTGCATATTTCCAGGAAGAATGTGAGATTCAGGTACGCCGACCGATTTCCATAGTTCTTTGGCTTCCAGATCCGGTTCTAATCCACCGGCTTCATTGCCCTCGAAGTAAGTAACGTAAAGGCGATTGGGATCCAGCCCATAAACTTCCGTCAACAGGGTCCACGAATATGTGATAGCTTCTTTCTTGAAGTAGTCGCCAAAACTCCAGTTGCCGAGCATCTCGAAGAAGGTCTAGAGAATTCGTCAGGAATCTGGTGAATTATAGCATGGAAGTTTCAATACTGACATGGTGATAACTATCCTTGCCAACATCATCCAGATCCTGTGTCAGGTCAGTCACTGTACCAAAGTCCCTCTAGGACCCCTCCAAGGTTTATGAAGGCACACCCACGTTATGTTTTCCACCGGCACGGAGGCACTATTCAATTATATCAGCAACAGTTCCAAGTCGGATATTTTTGGTGATCGTGGATGTCCAATACCTTTTGCGAGTTCGTTGCGCGCTTCATCTTTCCAAACTCCGACGAGGCGTCAACGGTGCCCAGGAAGATGGACTTGAACTGGTTCATTCCCGCATTGGTGAAAAGAAGAGTCGGATCAGACAAAGGAGCGACGGGGGAAGAAGGGACTGTATGCAAGAATAACTTCAGGTTAGTTCATGTTGTTGGCGGGGGTGGAGGGGTAGGACAGGAAAAAAAAATAGAACGGTTTCAACTTACCGAATGTATGGCCATTTTGTTTAAAATAATCTAAAAAGGTATCTCGGACTCGCTGAGCGGTCCATTCAGCACCGAGAGAAGTCATCCTGTCGAATTTGGGAGGGTTGGTTGACCGGGAGTGAACAAAGCGAGGGTGAAAGGGTCTGGGTTGATTTCTGCGAAAGAGATGAGTCAAAGCCCGTTCCCCGTTCGTCACCACCCCAGAAACCCGCATCGAGCAACGAAATGAACCTGACCCCAGATCTGTGCGCTTAGCAGTTCAACCTCTTTTTTTCTTTATCCCCACACACTTCCAAATACTCGAGAGAGCGAGAAAGAAAGAGAGAGAGGGGATATGACGGGTGAGGGAGGTCACGGGAAGAAGCGCCCGGCCCAAGATGACCCCGATGGCGCGCAACCGTTAACTAAGAGATTTGGACACCTACGACTAGGTAGGCAATTGAACTTGAAAGTTGTGGAAGTTGTCAGGCTAACATATTTGTAGATAATAGCGTGCCAATCTCCGCTCGGACCCAACCCAAGGGGCATATTCAGCATATCCAGCCTGTCCATAACCAACATGACCACATTGACTATCAACCACATAACCAACATAACCAAGAGCCTTCCCTTGATCCAATGATGTTGGATGACACCAAGCATACGACTTACATACACGACCTGGATCAGGAATTATTGGAAGATGACTCTCCTGGTTTGGTCTTTGCACCATTCGCGGAGAAAGTGCTTTCAGTTCCTCAATCCGTTCTATCCGACTCAAAATCCTCAGGGAAAGAACTCGTTCTTTATACAGAACCATCCTCCCTCACCGTTCCCAGAGAAAAAGATAATGTTCGAAAAGCAATTCTTGAATCTCGAGCACGAGCTAGAGAGAACAAGGTTACAGAGAAGGTTACAGAGAAGGTTACAGAGAAGGTTACAGAGAAGGAAGATTTATATGACGATCCAATGGATATTGATAGTTGAAGTACGCGGAGTATGGAGTATAGAGTATAGGAGTTAAAATGGGTAATTAGGCTAGTGAATTGTATAATTTTGTATCTTTTAAGCAACAAATGTACTTAGGAGTACATGGTAGTACTTAGTACACCTTTAAGGTACATTGAACATAGTAGTTACTACTACTAGTTAGTAGTATCATTGATGTATGTAGTATGTAATATACACGGTAACTGATTAAATAACCGGAACCACGTGATTCACCGCTCCCGAAAAATTTTCTGGTTTTTTTTGTGGCTCCGACTAAATATGCACTCGGCTTGATAAAAAAATTTCCTCTCTCCCCCACCATCCCTCTTCCCATCCCTCCCTCAAAATCACATATACAATTTCATAATGGCCGATTCTGAGGTTTACGACGGTGCCGTCGGCATCGATCTTGGTGCGCTTTAACTCTACTAAATTCGATCGCACAGTTGCTAATTGCATTTTTTACTATAGGCACTACCTACTCTTGCGTTGCCAACTACGAGGGCACCAATGTCGAGATCAGTACGCTTCCCCAAAAAATTCGATGTTTCTTTCTCAAATACTGACTATTTTGATCAGTTGCCAACGATCAGGGTAGCTACACCACCCCCTCCTTCGTCTCTTTCACCGACAAGGAGCGTCTCATTGGTGATGCCGCCAAGAACCAGGCCGCCATGAACCCTGCCAACACTGTCTTCGATATCAAGTGAGTACTCGAAAAAAAAAATTCAATTCTTGCGCAGTTTATCAATTCGAGATATGCGCATTCTCCACAATTAAAAAAAATTGGTTCTGACTCAATGCAATAGGCGTCTCATCGGTCGCCGCTTCGAGGACCCCATCGTCAAGAAGGATGTTGAGTCCTGGCCTTTCAAGGTCATCGACCAGGGTGGCAACCCCGTTGTCCAGGTCGAGTACCTTAACGAGACCAAGGTCTTCTCCCCCCAGGAGATCTCCTCCATGGTCCTCATGAAGGTATGGCAAAATATATATTTAATATTTAATATTTGTGGGATTTGTTTACTGACCAGTTGAAAACAGATGAAGGAGGTTGCTGAGATCAAGCTCGGCAAGAAGGTTGAGAAGGCTGTCATTACCGTGCCTGCCTACTTCAACGACAACCAGCGTCAGGCTACCAAGGATGCCGGTGCCATCGCTGGCCTCAACGTTCTCCGTATTATCAACGAGCCTACTGCTGCCGCTATCGCCTACGGTCTCGGTGCTGGCAAGTCTGAGAAGGAGCGCAACGTTCTCATCTACGATCTCGGTGGTGGTACCTTCGATGTGTCCCTGCTGAACATCCAGGGTGGTGTCTTCACTGTCAAGGCCACCGCTGGTGACACTCACCTTGGTGGTCAGGATTTCGATACTAACCTCCTTGATCACTTCAAGAAGGAGTTCCAGAAGAAGACTGGCAAGGATATCTCCGGTGATGCCCGTGCTCTCCGTCGTCTCCGCACTGCTTGCGAGCGTGCTAAGCGTACCCTGTCCAACGCTACCCAGACCACTGTCGAGATTGACTCTCTCTTCGACGGTGAGGACCTCAACTCCTCCATCACCCGTGCCCGTTTCGAGGACCTTAACGCCAAGGCTTTCTCTGGCACTCTTGACCCCGTCCAGCAGGTCCTTAAGGACTCTGGCATGCCTAAGAGCAAGGTTGACGAGATCGTCCTTGTTGGTGGTTCCACCCGTATTCCTCGCATCCAGAAGCTCCTGAGCGACTTCTTCGATGGCAAGAAGCTCGAGAAGGTAAGACATCACTACTTGATCTTAAGGTTTAGAAGCCCGTTACTTATCTTTTTCTTTTCATAGAGCATCAACCCCGATGAGGCTGTTGCCTACGGTGCTGCCGTCCAGGCCGGTATCCTCTCCGGCAAGGCTACCTCCGCCGAGACCGCTGACCTGCTCCTCCTCGATGTTGTTCCCCTTTCCCTTGGTGTTGCCATGGAGGGTAACATCTTCGCCCCCGTTGTCAACCGTGGCCAGACTGTCCCCACTATCAAGAAGCGCACCTTCACCACTGTTGTCGACAACCAGAGCACTGTCCAGTTCCCCGTCTACCAGGGTGAGCGTACCAACTGTGCTGACAACACCTCCCTCGGCGAGTTCACTCTTGCTCCCCTTCCTCCCATGCGCGCCGGTGAGGCCGCTCTCGAGTGTGTCTTCGAGGTTGATGTCAACGGTATCCTGAAGGTCACCGCCACTGAGAAGACCTCTGGCCGCACTGCCAACATCACCATCTCCAACGCTGTTGGCAAGCTCTCCAGCGCCGAGATCGACCAGATGGTTGACGATGCTGCCAAGTTCAAGACCTCCGATGAGGCCTTCACCAAGCGCTTCGAGTCTCGCCAGCAGCTCGAGTCTTACATCTCCCGTGTTGAGGAGATCGTCTCCGACCCCGGCATGTCCATGAAGCTCAAGCGCGGCAACAAGGAGCGCATTGAGTCCGCTCTCAGCGACGCCATGGCCCAGCTCGAGATTGAGGACTCCACCCCCGAGGACCTCAAGAAGAAGGAGCTTGCTCTCAAGCGTCTGATCACCAAGGCCATGGCCACACGGTAAATGCATACATGGGAAGACATGAACATAGACTTATGGCCAACGAATTTTTCTCTTTCCCGGGACTCTGCTTCTCAGGGAATCTGCACCATGTAGACCTTGGGCAGAGTTGGTCTCTGTCACGCTTTGTTTATGAAGCCGGGCAACTTGGGCGCAGTTTTCTTTACTTGAAAAGTACGATTTGTTTTGTTTTTTGTAGACGAAGTTCGCCATCTGCAATTTAATGACATTGTGATGATTTCCTCTCAATTGTAATTCTTTGGGAACACTTGGTAGTTCTATATTACTAAATGTATATGATTTTCCAAGAGTTTTTCGGTCGCGAGGCGGAAGGGCGGGTAAACTGAGAAATGTAACTACATGTACTTATGAAATACGCACCTCCGCTCTTGAGCTTTTTCCAACAATTGCTTTCCACCATGCAACGTATTATAACCCAATCTATTCGCTCCTTTAACCCTCGCATTGTTGCACACCCTCAAGGGATTCAAGCACTTCGACCCTTATGTCTCCTACCCCGAACCCAGGGCGCCGTTCCTCTGAACAGGCGTGAGTTTACCAATTCGCCTGCCCTATACAAGAAAAAGGAGAAGGCCAAGAAAGCTTCTGCTTCTGCTTCTGAGCCAGAGGAAAGCTCCAGCACTCCTTCCGAAGATCCCTTCGATCTCTCCCACCTACACAATGGCATTTCCACAGCTGTTGCCCGGTTGAAAGATGATCTGTCCAAGCTTCGCGCAGGAGGGCGGTTCAACACCGCAGTCCTAGAAAATCTGAGGGTTCATCTGAGCAAAGACAGCAAAGATTCCGTCAAATTGGGAGATCTGGCGCAAGTTGTGCCCAAGGGAGGACGCATGGTTACTCTTTTGGCGGCCGAAGAAGATGTAAGTCCATGATTCATCATACTTGACCGGTCTGGTTTTTTTTTTTTCTTTCTTTCTCTAATACATTTTGAGCAGCACTTGAAACCTCTTACTTCAGCGATTGTCTCCTCAAACCTCTCCTTGACTCCTCAGCCTGATCCTCACAACGCTCTCCAGCTCAACATTTCTATCCCACCACCCACAAAAGAATCCCGGGATAAGAGCGTTCAAGCTGCCAAGCAAGCATTCGAAAAGGCTGCCAGTTCAGTACGTGACTCTAGGGGTGCCATGCACAAACGTCTTCAGGATATGCAGAAGAAAAAACTAGCTCGCCCAGATGACGTGCGCAATGCTCACGATCTGATGGAGAAAGTTACTGAACAGGGCCAAAAGGAGGTGAAGGATGCCTTTGAAGCGGCTAGGAAGACATTGGAACAGGCATAAAAGCCTAATTGGCAAGCGAGGGGGAAATTATGAAGAAATTATAGCCTATAGCAACGAAGGTTTGTAAAATAAGACATTGTAAATCTAGGTACAGAGGCATAATCGGGGAAGATATGGGGAGAACATAAAAGGAAAATGAACCCGATCAACGAAACAAATATAATACAAATCACTTCTAGCACTAGTTCACATATCCTTAGGCGCTCTTGGTGTTGCGGCCAGCAGAGACAAGAGATTCAATCTTGGCCATGAACTGTGCGGTCTTGCCGGTTGTCTGGTAAGTGCCGTTGTTCCTGAGGTTCTTCGACACCTCTCCCAATACGGCATGTCCACCCTTCCCGACTTCAGACGTGGGGTAATTTCCCTGAACGAATGTTTTTATAAGAGTCTTAGTGCTTTCCGCGTCGATGGGGCTAAACTCGACATTCCGAGGCTCAACAAGGTCACCCTTGCGCTGTGAAATTCGATCAGCACGAAGCTGAGCCAGTCGCTTGATCTCTTCCATAGCCTCGGCCTTCTCGTTCTCGCTGCTGAACAGAACGTTCTGGCCCTTCCACATGCGCCTTCCAAGCTCGTAGGGTGGGATATAGCCATTGGGAACGCGGCCGCTCAGGCTGGAAAGCTTTTCATAGATGGCAGACGAGCGTGAGTTCACGTCTGTGGGGATTGAAGGCCAGGTCTCTTTCAAAGTAGAGTAATTGATCTCCTGGGGCTCGTAGCGGATGGGGGTTGGCCGGGACTTGATGATGTTCTCTTCAAGAATTTGGTCGATAGCTGCCCCTTCGGCATCTTCGCCATCGTCTTTCTCGGAAGTCTTTGCGTTCCTGCGCGGCAGGCCGGTTCGTTTACCCTTAGCGGCTTTGGCGTTGGGTTTGCCTTTTTGGGGTTGGTTGCCACTTCGAACGTTGCGTGATCTCGGGCTGCGGATAATCTTGGATTGCTCTCCACCGCTAGCTCGTGCAGCCGCAAAAGATCTAGCGTCAATCACTCGAGGAGGACGGGATTGATGCTGGTTGGTACGAGCTGGGGGCCCATTGGGGGTGCGAGCTGGAGGACCATTGGCGCTGCGAGCCGGGGGACCATTGGGGTTGCGAGCTGGGGGGGCATTGGGATCGCGAGGCTTGTAGGTCATAAAACTGCTCGATGAAGGGCGGGTAGTGGGTTTACGGTTGTCTAATGCGCGTGTGTTAGAATTCAAAACTCCCAGTAGCCCAAAGATTTGAGACGAAGTTGCGCAGCTGCATTTATCTTGCTCAATGCCTGCTTCCCTTGGATGTACCTACCAGATGGCTTGTCTTGACCTTCCTCGGCCACTGTACGGGTACAGGAGAACTGGCGAACAGGTGTAGAAAGACCGATTTTTGCCCGTTCGCATTGCAGCGAAATCTGCCTCAGCTGTGGTCGAAACATATTGTATTCTGAATGAACCAGGTCGTGTCCCTGGAACGTTTTGGTGAAGACACTTGATACTGGTCGACGCGGAAAGATTGAATGAAGAATTGCAGTCACGTGAGGCACCGCCTTCCTCTAGCCTCCGCTCTAGTAAACATAGCCATCGTCAACTTGAAAGTCTTCCTTTGTTCATCGAACCTTTTAGCTACCAAAATGCTTCGTCGAAAGCCAACAGCTATTGCTATTACTTCTGAGGATATTGCTGCCTTTGAAGAGGCCAGACTTCGCAAACTTTCTGAAGAAAACAAACACCCAGAACACGCAAAGGCAACATCCAATACCAAACTTGACCCTAGCGATGAGTTGAAACCACTTCCCGGTGACAAGGCTAGAATTATTCGAACCCGGGAAGAAAGAATAGGCGTTAGTCGACGTGGTTGACTGTCTATGCTGCGACCTCGAGCCCCCAGACCACCATCGCATATTGGAATGACTAGTTCCACACCGCGACACTTCAACCTGAGGTACATGACCCAATTGTGATATCCTCGCATGTGTTTCTTAACCCTTGAATCGCTTGTATCTTTTCTTTGGGTCACATAATTCAGCATTAACAAGAAACAAACAATGCAGGATCTTTGGCGTTGAAACATGACACCCGTCCCATACATTATACACCATCTTCCTCGTATGACAGCGAGCGATTGAGCAATCATAGAGCGTGGTGCTTTTTAAGCACCAGGTGTCAAGGGATTGATAGGACATGGGGTTTCCTCTGCCAATATCCTAGCATACGCCACCATTTCTCCTATAGTGACCCATTGGCAGGACGTTCATTCAAGACCGGAGAAGCGAAATGGCACGTTGGAATATTTCCTGACAAAATAGAAAACAATGTACACTACTTTGTTAATCTTGTGATCTATCGGGCATCTTGACAAGGACTGGTGCTCAAAGCGACTTCCCTCTTTTTTCATATTTCGAGATTTGTTTGTTCTAACCAAATTCTGTAGCTAAAGCAACCAAGATAATGAAGAACGAGGACAAACTGGGAATCCTTTCAGTATAGAATAAGTACCGTTTTACCGCTGCTCTGCCGAATAACCTGAATAGTGTCTTTTCCAAAAGCCATCAATTATTCTCTAGATTCAGTCTACCAAAGAGACCAAGTAAAGCAAGCTCATGATATACAGCAGGATTCATGCATCAACAATCCCAGCCCGGCTGGTCAAAGATGTCATGATGGTTGGACATCTCTATCCTCAAACTTTGCCTCGTTAAGCCATGCTTATGTCCTCTAGCGCTTGTAGTGTAAAAAGAAAAACAAGGAAAATATTGCACAAAAGAAAGAAAACAGGGAATATAGAGTAACAGTGTCAAGGGTAGAGTTCAGAATTCAGAATCCAGTTTCCTGGGGTAATTCGACAAGAACCACTATGGCAAAAAGAGAAGGACTGAATGAGAGAGAATCCAGGTCGTAGATGACTTGGGTATTTGTACTTCTCATCTTGGGCGTTTAGACATATTGTCGGGGTTAGCATCGACTGGGTAGTTCCATCGCCGTTTCAGCCCTTGTGGATCATACACACTAGCAACACTTTGCTGCCAGTCTCGTGCCGAAAACACAACTGCCGGTGCTTGGAACTGCGGAGGGGAGAGAGACTGGGTAGAAGTGACAGAGGGCACTTTGTTGGGCGTCTCGTACTGGATGGGGTATTGTTGGGGATTCATAACGTTTTGTACACCTGGTACTGAATTGTTTATAGGCATCGGTGGGGAGTTTGCGCTGACAGTAGAGGGGTTCACAGAGAAAGCCATGTCCCATTGACTAGAGCAAAATGTTAGTAAGGATTCAATCGAGCGTCGAGTCATTGGGGGAAGTGAATCATGTACGTACGTGATGATTCGGGTCGGGTCCCATTGGGTTTCATCGACTGAAGGGGTATCCAGCGGATGGGTTGTTGGAGGCTGATGGGCAACCATTCCGAGAGATTGTACCTGGGATGATGTATCGGACTTCGTATCTTCAGCACCAGTCGAAATCGGTGGGGTCACTTGATTGTAACGCACTCTGGATTGTACTTGATTCAAGTGTGGATGGTATTGCGCATCCATAGGTGGACTAGGATGATAGGGCTCCGAGGGACTCCCGTATGGGAAGCTGGACTTCAACTCGAAAGGATGATTCATGTCGGCAGAGAAAGCCAGTCTTAATGAATCGATCTGAGCTTGAATCTCGGGCATGGGCCAGGCGGTGGAGCATGTCTCGAGAATTCTCATATGGCGAGTGAAGAATTCACGGGCATCTGAATTGAACTCAGGGTCGGGGGAGGTGATTGCAATCTGCTCGTATTAGAATGAATGGCCTTGCTACTAAAAACTCCCACAAGTTGTGAATGCTTACCAGGTGCAGCATCGTACAAGTTAGGATGCAATATATGGCAAAATTGATGCCTCTTTGCATGTAAAGTAGTCCAGGTAGCCCAAACCTTTGCAAGATGCCTTCTTGTAGTCGACAAAGGCTTTTTGCCGAGGAGTAGCACAGTGACATATGGATCTTCCATTCACCACCGGCTGCAAAAGATTGAGATGCAAAAAGTTGAGGGCGATGCAACATAATAATGGCAAGGTGACAATGGGAATGCATATTGCCCACGAAATGAGATGGAAGCCACGGCGGAGAGCCATCGGCAGGATAATTGACCTGTAGGTCTGGAGGAAGGTTGCGAAGCCAATCTGCGAAAAGCGGGTTGCTTTGCACAAATCGGGCATCTGCGCCCCAGTCCTTTTGCTTCTTGACTTTGTGATAGATATCTGCAATGATGCGGATGTGATGTGCGTTGCGAACGAAATAAGCATATTGTCTTGAGCGGTCCATCTCGTAATGATCGAGACCTCTGATATCTAGCGTCGGGCGCATGTCCACTGTTTCAGGGTCGACTCCGTAATCCGAACGGCCTACTTTGATTAGAAGCTGGTTTATTTTAATAAATGATGGGACGGAATACACTTACCTTGCGGCCCACCAATCATCACCTCAAGTACCAAGAGAGTCTGCCACACTCTGGTATGCACCAAGCATTCAATTGGACTGAGTCCGCATGGTTTGCCTTCAGCGTGACTACTATAATGTTCATGGATGTCCAAATCCTTCGCCATTGAGATAATAGTCTTGACAGTCTGCCAGGACCGATAATAGTACCCTTTCTTCGGCAAAGATTCCCTTGCTTTTAGTAGCAGAATTAATGCTTGGATGGTACTTAAACGTGGTACATCCATAAAGCTAGTCTCGTGCCCTAGGAGATGTCAGCTTTTGAAGATGGCTGGACGAATGTTCAGTATAGACTCACTGTTGGCCAAGGCAAGCCACTGAGCGCCTTCTGAAGGCTCATCGGATAAACGGCCCGCGCAGGCAAAAAGCGCCTCGAGAAGAAGGGGAGAGATAGAACGGCGATCGTGCTGCCATTGATAGTACAGATGGGCACGGGATATGACAGGAACGTAGGGGTGTATCTGATCGAAGTAGATCTTGAAATAAGCCATTACGTCGTCTTCGGCAGGCATGAGTTCAGGGGGGATTCGAATTTTCACGCCCGATCCAGTTCTGAGAGGTGGAAGTTGCTCTTCAACATCGTCCTGGACAGGGGCATCGGGCTCAATTCGATCTGTGCGTTGCCTTCTAATGTATGGGGCTATCAAAAGGGGATTAAGTGTCAGCTATTAGTCGCGGGAAAATCAGTGGAAGGACAATGTGCCATACCGATCCCACTCTCGTCAATCTTCAACTCCCCAAGTACATCACTAAGGTTGTCTGCATGGTCGTTATCAACGTACACATTCCGATCCGATGATCCCATAGATGGGGTTTGCGACCCAGGAAACATTTGAGGCTGTTGGAAATTTTGGGGTGGCATTGCCATTTGTGGTGGCCGAAGATCGTTGTAGATGCTGGGTTGAGCCTGAGGAGGGACGAATTGCGAATACATGTTCATTTGATCATACGAGGGGATAGTGTTCATGGCGGGTTGACTAGTGTCCCTGAAAACCGGGGGAACTGGAAATGTATGGGAGCCCTCAGCTGCATTAGAGGGTCCTCCGGTCTCTAGAGTAGACTCGCCCTGGCCATCAGGGAGAAAGTCCCCATCTTGCCCGATGGCCGGAGGGACACAGACCAGCTTTAGACGAGTGCATGCAGAACAAGGCCAGGTATTAGTCGTGGCTGCGTCACACTTGATTTTTCTCTTCCGACAACCATTACAGGCTCGCATCACTAAACATCAGGCTCATCAGCATTTGGTGTTGACTTGTGATGGACGATGTTCCTACCCTTCAGCCTCTTATGCCGGTTATGCTCGTCAACGAATACATAGTCTACATCGATGAATGCGATTAGTTGTCAATGTAACATGCAAGGAATATAAAGTGCTCAAGGTACATACTTTTTTGGCCTTCTCTCGGGGGGCCCCCTGGGGGCGCAAATGAGTAACCCTGCATGCTTGCCCGTTTGATAACAAATGGCGGGGTTGAAAAATGGCGTAAAGTGCGACAGTAGAGATAACTCAAGCCGGTATCGAAACTATCAGGGTATCAAGAAGGGGAAAAAAAAGTCTGTGCTGAGTTCTATCCACAAGGACCTGCCTCGGGAAATTGAAGGACGTTTGTTGATGTGTGAGGGAGAAGGCAGAGTTTGAATCTCGCTCCGCGAGATGGGGAATGAGGGTTTTGTCGCGAGTGATCCAACTGCGCCGAGAGAGGATAAAGCTAAACGAAGAGCAAAGGCAAGATCGCGGGATGCCGGAGTCCGGAGGAATCAAGGCCCAAGCGGATTACTCAGGACAGACAACGGTTATAGTTGCAAATTGCAGCAAGCCCTGGAGACGCTGTTCAATGACAGATTCCAGGTTGCCTAAAGGCTGCGACCGACTTGCCGAGGCTCCGCAGAAAATTGACCGGGAGAAGTCGCAAAAGTCCCAAGGCGTGCAGGTATTTTGCGGTGCTATTGTGGATTGGAAAGTTTGCGCTCTAAGCAAACCGAATGCAACGTCTATCAAGCGCGCAAGGCTGGACGCGGAAATAGAATCAGGTTGTCTTGGGACTCGAATGTATGTGGTAAATGAATAATTGATTGCTAGTAAGCGCAGGGCAAATTAGCGTCTTTCGCACACATATAACCCAGATCAAATAGGATCGCACGGAAGAACATCAAAATTTCGGCTTACAATTCGGGTAAGTAGAAGGGTTTCCGGTGCAAATCCATCGATATCAACGTCGCAAGGTACTCCACGTTCGAATCAATGGGCCTGGCGCATTGCATCTCAATTGGGAAGGAAGATGTGGAAGGAGCGCGGAGCATTAGGAAGAGGAACTCAGGTCCACAAGTGGAGACATAGAGATATAGGCGAAAAGGCTCTAATATGCCAAAAATCTCCGGTGAAGAAAGAGGGGGAAATTAGAGCTTGTGTGAGAAAGAGGGAGAGAGAAGATCAAAAGCTGAGGGGTGAGAGGTACCGCGGGTTGCCAAGTGTGGGAGAGGATCCAATAGCGCCCGCCGTTGTGGATTTTCCCAGGGTGGAGGGGCGATCTGGATGGTGATTTTCCAAGTAGATTATGGTACTTATAAGATTATATTGACCTCAGGGATAATTTTGATATTTGATTTATACTAGAAGCAGGGAATTATTCTTGATTTTCTTGTACAAGATACCACGTACATATAACATATACTGGTATATATATTGGTGAATAAGGGGTGAGAGCGTCTCCACTTAGGTATGATACTGTTACCTTGGTGAATCAGTATCCCTGCGAGTGATACTAAGTACAATGATTAGAATTATGTACTCCGTACTCGTAAAGGTATCTACATATGTATAAAGGGAAATGTAAGTACATTTCACCTGTGCATGATGTGATAGACATAGAAAAAGCAAATAAGCTATCAGAAAATAAACAAAAATAAGGCTCCAAATCTGAAACAGGAAAAGACACGTTCTACAAAATCTTGAAAAAATCAGGACAAAATTGCCGGGGACACTTCGGACAAAAGTGATTTTAAAGCATTCGGCTTGTCGATCATCCCGAGTGGCTGGGATTGTCAGGCTATATAGGAACTTTAGCACTATTATTAGGGATTCAACACTATTCTATTAATACCTAAACATAAGCATAATCTAGAATTCTATAATTACTCTAGAACTCCAAGGAATTTCCATATTAAAACCTGTAGAGAGAAAAAAAAAAAGTACTTTCTTTTTTTATAGTTACGGACTGTTGCCGAGGACTCGCACGTGAACCTGATAAACTGATAAACGTTATCGGCAATTTCTACCCCCCCCCCCCCCCATCTAACCTATTACTCCGTACCTTTAACCACACTTGACCTCTCTCTATCCCCCTGATCCTTGTACCCCCTCTTTCATCATGGCGGAAATACAAAATTCAAACCCCACGATCATCAATGCAGCTGATCTCCCCACGCGGCTGCGACCCACCGCCACTCGAAAGTCCGAATATGGTGGTATCTTCACGTCGGCCCTGCCCCTCGCCCCAGTAGACTTTGAGAGTGCTCTGTCATCTGATTCGGAGGATGACAACCTGATGGAGGAGCCTATTGATGAACAGGAAATATATGGTAAGACTCTCTCTCTCTCTCGGATACATATGTCCCCGGAGATCATTGCTTAGCTCAATCCACTAAAACGATTAGATCTCATCTCCTCAATCTCCGACCCGGAACACCCCATCTCGCTTGGTGAATTGGCCGTGGTCTCTCTCCCAGATATTGCCATTAAGCCAACCCTCCCGGATGTCCTGGATTCGCCTCTTCAAACCGTCACCGTGCTTATCACCCCCACGATCACTCACTGCAGTCTGGCAACCGTCATCGGTCTTGGCGTTCGTGTTCGTCTGGAACAGTCTCTCCCATCACGATTCAGAATGGATGTGCGTATTAAAGAAGGTACACACAGCACCGGAGATGAAGTCAACAAGCAGCTCGCCGACAAGGAGCGGGTTGCTGCGGCCTTGGAGAATGGTGCGTTAATGGGGGTCATTGCCAAAATGATGGAGACTTGCCACTAAAACTTTAAAAAAATCCCCTTTGTACTATAAGCTGGGTCTGGTTGCATTGGTGATGCAAATAACGACCTATCACCGGCAAAATAGACTAGGCCCTCTTGTGTGACGACCGCCTACGACGAATGACTAGATCTTGAATGACTCGCATTGGAATGAGTATTAGAAGTAAATATGAACTTTACTACCACTCTAACACTGTTGACACCGGATTAAAAGACTCCCTTCCTCCGTAGCCAATCCTATTTTGGGTAATAAAAAAAAAAAGAGATCATGAATCTAGCACACCACTTTCCTTCAATCCCTTCCAAAGCTCTGGCTCCAAGAACTTGCTCACAGTGACATCTTCGGCCAGACCCTTGCGCCTCCGTGTCTTCAAGACAAAGTCCCAAGCAGTGGCCATGGCAGGGGCCATCTCCAAGGGCTTGAGTTTGATATCACGGTCCAGTGGATCACCAGGAACCACACTCCACTTATCGAACGCAAGGTTTACCATAGCTTGACCTTGGGTGTGAATTCGGAGATCGGTCTCAAATCCGAATGAGTCAATCACTGGGATCAAGCCACGTACGGAGTAAAGAGGTGTGCCCGCGATGGGGCCGTCTGACAAGACGTGACCCCTTCGGCGGGACAAGACTGTGTACACAGAAGCCACTGCGTCTGCAGGTCCTGTCATTGTGCAAGAATAGATCGGCTCCATAAGACGGGGAGACGCCATGAGGAAGGAGGAGTAGACAGCACGGCGGGCTGTGGGAATAATCTGGCCTCCACCGCGGTAGATAGCCTGATCAGCCAGGGACACATCCGTAAGCCTGAACTTTGTGTTTCGAATGGCTGAACTTCAATTAGTGTCACATTCATCATTTGCGCCGAGACTGCAAGATCATTGGCGAGTGAGAGGGGGAAATCAAAACTTACGTTCTTCACAAAGAGGGCCTTCCCGTGTACCCCAGCTGAATCCTTGAGTGATAGAGTCTCTGACGGTACCAAGAAGTTTCTTATCCACTTGAGAGGGTAAAGTGTCGTCTTGGAGAATATTGGGACCCATTTCATCGGGCCCAAACGCCCAGATGCTTCGGGCTGCAAGCTTATCCCAATCATAATTGTCCTCGAAGTATCGAGCAACCTTCCGAATAGGGTCCTTGATATTAACCTTGCCACTCTCAATATCCTCTGCAATCCCATCATCTAATGGCTCCGCAATCATTGTGATTTTATTCTTCTTATTCGGAGTGATCGAGTAACACATGATGGCTGAGGTTTCCACCACGGTCTCACAGAAGCGTGTAACGGGGTCGGAGACCTTGATCTCCATCTCCGAATAAAGTTTCCGGAGATCATGGAGCACACAGTCCATGTAAAGCTCGCCGGTTCCTAGAACCACATGCTCGCCAGACTCCTCAACTTTGGTTGAGATGAGGGGGTAGCTCTTGTTGATTTTCCGCAATCCATCCAACATCTTGGGAAGTTCTGATGGGTTGACCGGCTCCACAGCGACCTTAAAAACTGATTCAGTCATGTGCCGAATCGGGCGGAAGATGTACGCCTCCTCGTCATCTTCGAGCTTCAGGGGCACTAGTGTCGCGGTCTTGACAATAGAGTTATCGACGCCACCCAAAAGAACCCAGTTTCCGGCGGGGACACCGTTGGTCGGGATGTTGTAACGCGTTTCCGCAATCCACGTGTCGGAGATGGTTGCTACCACCATGTCTTCCTCGTCTTCTGGGGTGTAACCTTCGCCGAGGACACGGACCTGCTGACCAGGCCGCGCTGTGCCGCTCATAATTCTTCCAAATGAGTAGAAACTTCCAGCATCGGTACTGCTGAAGAGTTTTGTGACATGGATAACCAGAGGTCCGTCTTGGTTACAAGCGACCATCGAGGCCCCAACCTTGGTATCCACAGGCCCAGTGTAGTATCGCTCCAATGCTCTCTGGGCACCTTCCACCGGGGAAGGAACGTGCTGAACAACCATGTCCACAAAGCCAGTGGCGGGTCCAAAGAATTTCTCGCAGACCAGACTGAGCAGCTCCTTGGCATCGGTCTTGAGCTGAGATGGCTTCAAATTGACGCCGACGCTAGCCAGAGTCTGTTTCAAATCCTCAGGACTCTCGCTTAGTGTGTGAGAGTAGAGCTTGTAGATCGGCTCTAAGACAAACTTGACGAATGACCGCTTTGCGTTCTCCTCTATTCCTTTGCGAGTGAACTTTCGGCTCTGGGGATTGTAGAAGATGTCACCCCAAAGTCGCGCAGCAAATTGTGTCGAGTCCAAGCTCGGGTAGGTGTCTGCGTACATCCGGGCAAATGACTGCAATGTAAAGCACCAGTTCATTGAGCTTGATGCGAATCCAACATTGCCCTTCTCGGGGCTCAGTCGTCGTCGCTCGCCTTGCCCTGGCAAAATGTTTTCAATGATTGTATTAACTTCTTCAATCACATGTTTCAATTTGAAATAAGCATCATTGGGAGGAAGTTTGAGCTCAAGAATGAGTCGATCCATCTTGTTGACTATCAAGGTCAATGGGAGATCTTCCAATACTGCATGCTTGATAATTTGCTCAGTGTTCGCTTGAACACCTTCAACAACATCCACAACCAGTACCACGCCATCAGCTAGGCGGATAGAGGCAGCCACCTCGTCGACAAAATTCACATGCCCGGGGGGTATCAAGGAGGTTGAGCAGGTGAGATTTGCCTTTGGTGTTCGGGAGAACGAGACTCATCGGTGCTGACTTGATTGAGAGACCACGCTCTCTCTCTAGGAAATGGACATCGGTGTATCGCAGTTGTTCTTCTCTCTTCCGTCCTGTGCGCTTCTCCAGCCGCTCTGTTAGGTCGTGAGTCTGTTTGACCAGCATATCCATAAAAGCAGTCTTTCCATGGTGCAGGTGACCAACAATTGCAACGTTCCTGGTCTGTGCTGGGAAGTTCAAAAGATCGGACATGAACTCTCTCTCGAAGTGTACGGGTGGGAGTTCGGTCTCTGAGATCGCAAATTTCTTCTGCTGGACAGGAGCAATAATGGGTTCTGATAATGGCTGGGCATCTTCCTCCTGGACCATGGTTTCGACATCCTCGCCGTACACTTGCTGTGCGCTGGGGTAGTATTGTTTGTCTTCGTGCAATATGACCGCATTCGAAGGACCCTCTGCAGAGGAAGATGCGAAATTAGCGAGATTGCAAACCGCGCGCGGATAAAACGTGGCAACATACCATCGATTTCCATCAGTTGTTGATCATTAACTTCCTCTTCTTCTTCATCATCGAAAGCCTCATCGAACTTGAAGGCTTGAGGCTGTACATCTTCATGATGCTCCTCGTCGGATTCTGCATCGCCGATGTAGTTACCGAACCTAGGCGCAATTAGCGAGGTCACATATTTAGAGTCAAAGAAACATACTCATCATAGAGGTCGTCCATAATGAATTGTGGAGAACGTGAATGTGTGAAGGGCAAAAAAAAGAGGGACCGTAGCTCCAGACGCGTGATGCCGGATAAGTTGAGGATCTCAACTTTCACTTGGTCCGTGCGTCCTCGGAGTACTCGTGCCTACACCGTACAGCTCCTCACTCCCCACCATACAATTTATTCTTATAGATCCCCCTCCCTCATTGATCTCCTTGATCTTTTCTCTACTTCTATAATTCTACCTTTCTTCTCTATTTCCACAACTTTTTTTTCTTCTTCCAAAATGTCTTCTCTTCCTGCCGTCTACATTGTTTCTACTGCCCGTACTCCCGTGGGCTCTTTCCTGGGGTGAGTATTCCCAAATTCTTCTCTCTTTTTTACCCCTGGATATTGATCTGACATTGGGTACTATAGCTCCCTGTCCAGCTTGACCGCTCCCCAGCTTGGTGCACATGCTATCAAGGGTATGGCATATTACCCAAACTATACCACCCATCTTCAATGCTAATAGTAATTTGCAGCGGCTGTCGAGCGTGCTGAGGGCATCAATGCCTCTGATGTCGAGGAGGTTTTCTTCGGCAACGTCCTGTCTGCCGGGTAAGTTGTCTTTGCTACATCTTATATTACAATTGAGATTGACTTGTTGTCGTTTAGTGTTGGACAGAACCCCGCCAGACAATGTGCCATCGGTGCTGGCCTTAGCGAATCTACCGTTTGCACCACTGTCAACAAGGTCTGCGCTTCTGGCCTGAAGGCCATCATTCTCGGTGCCCAGACTATCATGACCGGAAATGCCGATATTGTTGTCGCTGGTGGAACTGAGTCCATGTCGAACACCCCTCACTACCTGCAAACCTCTCGCACCGGTACCAAGTTTGGCAGCCAGACCATGGTTGACGGTATCCAGAAGGATGGTTTGACTGATGCCTACGGCAAGCAGGACCTCATGGGTGTTGCGGCCGAGGAGTGTGCCGAGGAGCACGGCTTCAGCCGTGCCCAGCAGGATGACTATGCTATCCGCAGCTACGAGAAGGCCCAGGCTGCCCAGAAGGCCGGTGCTTTCGATTACGAGATTGCCCCTATTGAGATCCCCGGCTTCCGTGGCAAGCCTGGTGTTGTTGTTTCCCAGGATGATGAGCCTAAGAACGTGAGTATCACCTGTTCTCTGTGTTAGATTACCTGTGACTTTGACTGACCATTCCTTGCGGTTTATAGCTCAACCCTGAGAAGCTCCGTGCCATGAAGCCCGCCTTCATCCCCGGCACTGGAACTGTGACCGCCCCTAACTCTTCGCCCCTGAACGACGGTTCCGCCGCCGTTGTCTTGGTTTCTGAGGCTAAGGTGAAGGAGCTCGGCCTCAAGCCCATTGCCAAGATTCTGGGCTGGGGTGATGCTGCGCACAAGCCCAGCAAGTTCACCACTGCCCCTGCTTTGGCTATCCCCAAGGCTCTCAAGCACGCTGGTGTGTCCCAGGACTCCATCGATGCCTTTGAGATTAACGAGGCCTTCAGTGTTGTGGCTCTTGCCAACCTGAAGCTTCTCAATCTCTCCGAGGACAAGGTTAACCTCCACGGTGGTGCGGTCGCCATTGGACACCCTCTCGGTGCTAGCGGTGCCCGTATTGTGTCCACCCTGATCGGTGTCTTGAAGACCAACGGCGGCAAGCTTGGCTGCGTCGGCATCTGTAACGGTGGTGGCGGTGCTAGCGCCCTGGTACTCGAGTCTCTTTAAAGAGTAAACTCTGTTAACGAAAAACGGAGATGTGAAACGACCTTTGATCTTTGCATATGAAATACCAAGTTCATTTTTGACAGGGAAGGTACTTGGTTGTTCTCTGCAAACATACCTCATCCCGCAGCGACAAAAATTTGCAGCATCAGTACCATTTTCTCGGTACCTAGAATAGATAATGAGATATCCTTGTGTGTTCGTATCCTGCTTTCCACTTGTAGCTTCTTGCTGGTCTTGGAGGAAGATGGAGTCGAGTTAGAGGGCCTATTCTAGCATTTCGACGCTAAAGCATTTAGTTCATATTATATTACTATTTTTATTTGACTCATTAGTTACGGGAATATTAGATAGTAGCAATACATTTTGATAAAGATGGTGCCAGAATATTCATAAAGCAATGACTGCCCAGGTAAGAAGGTTAATCTCGAAAGCCTACTATTGTCCATCTCTATACTAGTATGTAGGATCTCAGCCATGGTACCTAAAGCTGAAAAGGACGAGGAGAACATTGAGCAAGCTAAGACTACCTAGGATTGATTTAGAGAGAGGAATATGAAAGAATACTACCCGATATTGTAAGAGATACACTACCTTTCTGGATGCATTTAAAGGGGTTCTAATTTATGTAAACATGTACTATGTACAGTCCTCTAGGCCCCTTAAGCCTTAGTGCCCTGGACTGTGGCTTAGTTTCCATGAGGAACAATGTCATGACTGGACCTAATGTCAATATCATTAGGGGAGAACACAAGACGGGAATGAAGGAAGCGCGAAAGGCACATAGAAGACTGGAGGTTACGGGACCCATTGTCATTAGCGAGTATTGCTGGACAGGGGCTAATGTGACATTATTTTGGAGTCACCATTGGCTATGGATCTTCCATCAGTGCTAGGTCTGTGGTGAAACGGGATATACCAGCCTTGAGTGATCAGATCGGAAAAAAATGAATCAAGTGTGTTTTATGAGAATCCCCCGGGATATAGTATATATCCACAAATAAGAGATCCTGAGACCTAGGAACGAATGGAGTATCATTAATTTTGTATACATTTAGAAAAAGGAAAGATCGCTTACTTCGTTAATCTATCAGACATTATAACCGAAAAATACCAAACAATAATTAATGCTTTTAAGCAAAGGCTCCGACGAATGCCATGAGGAGAGCCCCGCAGGCAACAGACAAACAAGCCTCAACACGTCGTCTGCCCTTGAGAGTGTCATAACTCGACTCACTCAAGAAGTCCTCGGCGAGGAGTTCCACCAGTCCCGCGAAGAGCAAAAGACCGCTGCTAATGGCATTAGTGATGCCAACCATCAGCAGACCTGTTGCGCTGGCAGGATCGTAGAGATTGTGTAGAACCAAACCGATAGCCTGGCCAAGGGGAGTTGTCGTTCCATATGCCAGTGACATAAGCCATGGTTTCATGGAACTCGGAGGGAAGAGATCCGGTATGAGCGATGCAATCCGAGATCCCAGAGCGAAACCTTCAAAAGTCTGATGGAAACTGATTGCAATTAACAGGACGACAAATGAGGTGCCAGTCGCAACACTGAGCGCCATGCCGATGAAGATGCTGTGAAACAAAATGCCAGCTTCCAAGAGGAGGCATTGTAAAAGCTGACGCTGCGGATTCTGGATTGGCCCATCTGTTTCAATCTGGCTTTCGCTTACACGGGGTCGATGCCGGTGGACAGATTGTGAGTGCGCAGAATGAACTGCCTGCCCACTGATAAGTCCGGCGTCATCCATGTAGTCATCCAGTCCATCAAGGGCATCCTCGTCGTCCTCTTTATCCGGTGACGAAACTGCCAGATGAGGACGGTCCGATCCATGATCTGAGCCGGAAGCTCTCGTCGCCCGCAACTTGGAGCTGTGCGCTGTGCTTTCTAGGTTGATATTATCTGAAACCTGCCGAGCCTCTAGCCCCGAAAAATCGTCATCTGGATTCCCCGCATCCCTTATTGAGTCACGCCGAGCCACGCCAATGAGATTATCGTATTCGCTTCCGTGCACGTGCTTTGCGCCTTTCATCGCAAAGAACATTTCCACGATAACGACTGCAAAGACCGATATCATTGCAACAAACCCTGCCATAGCCCGATATGTTTGACTCCAAAACCGAGGAAGACATGGATCAGTCAGAGAGACGAATGCTGTGGGAAGCAGATGGACGAATGCTGTCGCAATTAATACACCCGTTCCAAAATGTCTTGATATGAAGAGGAATCGACGGGGAATCGGGAGACCAGGGAAACGGCGCGCCAAAACCGGAAAAGAACAAGCTATTGTAATTTCAACGTTAGCACTGGCCAACTTGAGAGATCCGAGAGAAGCCAGTGCATACCGAATGTACTCAGTCCAAGGATGAGGAACAGTGCCATAACATGTAACGGTGTGTTATAGGCCCCCCGCTGTTTGGAGCCGCAAGTCGGCGTATCTTCTGAAGCTCCATCTCGCCGAAGAAGCTCTGCTCGCAAGAGAGCATCGGGGATCTCTGAAATTGCGGAGAGGGCACGCTTCAAGTCTGCTCGGTACCTAGTTAAAAGCTGACGACGATTTATTTTTAAATATTGCTAACCTGAAGGTAAAACCTTTGCAGTCTGCCAGTCTTCGGCATTCTGCATTTTGTGTATGGTTTCAAATCTGTTGGAGGTGTAACATCCCCAGTTGGAATGAGGGGAATGATGGTAGGCCCGGTAACGTCAAGGATATAGTAGTCACTCAATTGGGTTCATACAAGGAAATTGCACCAAATGATAGATCAGCAAGGAAGTCAAATAACACAAACATGTATTCTTTAAAGAACAGAAAATACCGGACAAGGGTGGTTTGGGGACACGCGATAAAGTGAGTCTCGATTCCGGGCCCCTTCGCTTAGTCACACATGCTGGAGGCCCCAGAGGGATCCCACGTGGGCAATACTCGTCCTGGGATTTGTGACTTACTAACACTTTACTCTGTACCGAGTGGATAAAGTGATCTTAAACTTATTCAAGTCATATTATACATGGAATAAATATTGAAATTGGAATATTAGATACCTGTCCTCTCCCTGGTCTTTACTCTAGTCCAACCTTTGATACCATTAGGCGGGGGGTCGTCTTGGCTTTGAGTCCTCCTGGCGGTTTTTGAACTTGTAGTTCTGCTTTCTGTGCCCGCCGATCCAGATTGAAAGCTCGGGGAAATGGCCGTGGGGCTCTGCGGAACAGATGACCGGGACTCCATCGCATCATCCCATTCTTTTTCTTCCAGCAATTCCCATTCCGCACTGGCCATTTCGCCTTGAAAATTGGCCTTCAATTTATCTGCAATCTTGAGTGGGGTTGGGAGTTTCCATAGTCGCATGAATTCAACTCCTTCCGATGCTCCCAGGAAAGAATGTGCCGTGCCATGAGAATAGTGACCCAACATGGGAAAAGAAGTTGTCCGCTGAATGGTTGTTTTGGGCGAGTCTTTGGCAGATTTTATCTGGTTCTGCGTATCTCGGCCAGCGAAGGCTCGCATCAGAGTTGAAGGATGGGCTGGTGGAGCAACCAGCAGTTGCCACAAGCTCTTTCCAATATCGCAGACATCCTCCCAAGAGTCTGATGAGATGTTTATCCCTTGGGTTCGACATAACCATGCAACATTCCATGCTAGGAGAGAGGCACCTTCGAGAAAGTAGCCGTATGTTACGGGATCCTCCTTCGCTAACCGGGGTAAAGGTTTATCAATAAAGAGAGGCCGCGGGTGTGGTGTGTGGGTGCGCGGGTCCACCGTCCTGGATGCAGCTGGACTTGACGAAGACTGGTAATCAGCTCCATTGTGACCATCGCGCGAGCGATATGATGCCGAGGGATTATAGATCGTAGGCACAGGATAGTTTTTGTGGGGTAGTGTAATTTCGGCGGGAAGTCTCAAGGAGAGATAATGTGAGACAATGATCAGAAGATGAGCGATATTAGAAAAAGACGTGGATATCTGCTCTTGTGGAATCCCTGTATTTGCCCTGTTAGTATGCCACGGGATGAATAATTGCTTGGAAGCGGCGGTGTCAACTTGCCATTCAGATCCCTCAAGTCAACGATAACACCACCTCCAAGCACATATGTCTCCCGAGCTTGCCCCTTCTTCGTAGCCTTCCGCAGGCCATAGAGATTGGCGACTTCTCGACAAAGATAAATACGTGACTCCGCTGTCTTGCTATGGAGGGAGTGCCAAACGTGCTCCACCCGTTTGCTAGTATTTTGAACGCCCGCCAGTATTCCGGATTCCCGCTCTTCTAGTTGGAATTTGGCAGATTCAGCATCGGAGCGTCTACGTGCCAGGGCTTCTTTTTGCTTGGAAATATTCGCTTTCCTAGCTTCGATCTCCGATTTTAAAGCCTCAAGATGTTGTGAAATCGATTCTCTCTTTGCCAAAGACACTGCATGTTGAGTGCTTATCGTTTGGAGGACCCAGTGGGGAGAGCAAGCTTTGTCCGTATCGAGGAGATCTTGTCGGTGTGCGGAAGGTTGATCCCAGGAGCTACCACAGGTAACAGCAGTCTCAATTTGCTTTCCAAGGACTTCTTTCTCCAGAAGAACTTGAGTGCTCTCGATTCGTAGTTGATATAGCTGATTGCGGGCACACGTTGGGCAGTGGAAAGAAAGGCGGGAATGAGGGGCACGTGAGCATATAGAACAGCTCATGGCAGACAATTCAATTTTATTTTCAGCTGTTCTTTGAGAGCGTAAGGGTAATTTCCATGTTGCGTTGTGGGATAATTATGGGTGCTATTCGAGTCGCCGCCGAGAACCATATAGAGGGGTGAGAGGGTCATCAAAGAGATGCAAATCCCACATGACTCAAATAATATGTTGATATGAAGGATGTGACCTCAAGCCTAACATTTTAAGTTCGCATCACCTTTAGTTAATCTTTCTTCAGAGAAGGAAGAGAAGAAAAGACGGAATGATGTGCACATGCACTTGTCGACGTCACCTGACTCAGTTATCGCGAATCTTATCTTTTTGGATAAGAACATCCACCCGTGGACGAATCAAAACAAAAGTGACTCTAAGTTCTACTGAAACCATCATTGGTTTTGACATGATTTTGTTTTGACACACCGCCATATCAGTTAAGCCAATCTAATATGCCGTCGACACCGAAGAGGACCAGCAAAATTCCTCGACCGGGGGCAATATCACCCCGTGTCAGTCAAGGAAGCAAAAGCCCTCTAGGCAGTGGGAGCTTCCAAGAAAATAAAAGCCCTCAACCACCAGTCGAAACTCTTATACCTGCCCCTACTCACGATGAGTTTCCATTTGTCTCTGGGTTGACACAAGGGCTGGAGAATTGCGACTGGGAACAACTCCAAGGGAAATATGCCGATGCAATGGAGGAACATGGCCGAGTCGAAGAGAATCTTCGAATTGAAACAGCCAAGCTTCTTGAAGTAAGTTTTCGAAGCGCACTTTGATTGTAATTTTGTGCCTGAGCAACTGGTAGGTTTTCATGGCATGGTCTCAAACCACCGTTTCGCAAGATGAGAATAGGGCTTTGAAAAGGTTCGACCAATCCAGCTTTGGCCTAAGGTATCGATGAACGAATAATTAAACATGTACAGATTCAAGACCCAAATGCAGCACGTTCAAAATTCCGAAGTCAACGTGGAAAACAAGAAAAAGCATTGTAAGTCCCCTCTTGTCCTTTTGACTTGAAAACAAGGCCTGATCGCTCATCTGTTTCAAGATGCGGAAGTAGTAAAAGCTTTCCAAAATGCCCTTGCCTTGTTAAACGATCAAATGAAGATTTAAGCACATGACGGACACGACGTTTATGACAATTATGAGACTATGTTACTCTTCTACTTGAGAATCGATCTCCCAAAACAGGACTTGAATCGGTATGCAAAAAGCCATCTATTATGTATTTCCTCACTTATATGATGGCTTAAAAAAATCCCCCCTAAATGTACTACAAACAAAAGCAAAAACCCAATGAAATCCTTGGAGTTATTCAAATGGGATTGCTAGGGACGTCACAAATCATTATTGCAGGTAAAAAAATTTCGAAGTTAATCTCTGGTGGCTTCCGTCACTACAAGGCTCTAGCGTCTAGTCGCCATCGTTTGTAAGACCTTGGTGATTAGCCCTGGGAGCGTTCAGTCCGGGCAGCTCTCCCTGTGATATCTTGCCAGCTGGCATTGAAGCGTCTGCCGGTATTGGCCAATAAGCCTTCCTCCTCAGCTTCCTCTGCATCTTCATCGAGTTGCGCTTCGTCCAACTGGGGCGAACGGAAAAGGGAAGTAACAAATACAATCAAATACAAGCCTGTGGTATAGGTGTTAGGTCAATGTGAACGTGCAATTTTAGCCGGGAGGCAACGAGATTTAGTCTTACCTAGGAAGAAGAACTGGGCCCAAAAGAACACGACCCCAAAGAATGGGTAGTTCAGGGTGACCCGATTTAAGAACGTGCTCACGATACTGGGTGTACAGACTTGCTGCGCTGCAGGATTTTCTGCCAACTCTGAGCATGGCTTGATAAGTTCTTTAGTGTTTGAGCAATCTGGCTGCCCAGTGAAGGTTCCCGGAGCGCGATCACAGAATGTCTGCGGGCCGAATGTGGCATACTGGGGGGCGACTATCATCGAAATGGAATAATTCAGCGCTAAAATGATCAGCATCAACATGGCGGTGGCTAAGAGTAGGGCCTGGGGAGATGTGTGGCCGTTTCTGATTTGGAAAATCCTAATCCATAGGAAGCGGATTCCGACCACAGCAATTCCAACCACAGAACTGCAGAAAAACAGCAATACAAGTGCTGTAAATATAGCGTAGTCAATGGGAAAGAATCGGGCGGATTTAACAAGTGCCCAGTTGACAGGGTTAAAGATGTTGACATGTGCGAGGATGTATCCACAACGATGCTTGCAAATCGAGTTCTTTGCTTTGTCAATTGCCGTCAAGAGCATGGATACCCACGTGAGGAAAGCAATGCATAGCAGTAAGATGCCTCCCAGGAGTTTGAAGGGACGGAGCACTGCCCCGATTTTGTACCATGCCCTCATCAACCAGCTATGGCCTCCGCCTTGAGATTCCTCGGCTAGACGTTGGCGCCGAATCAGGGTCCTTTCTTCCCGCACCAGTGTATCAAGTTCTCGGCGGTCTTTGGAGGACAAAAGCCCGGGGTCTCCGGCACATCGTCCCTCGAGCTGACGTTGCCGCTCTTGATTTGTGTCAAGTTGTTGTGTAGTGCTCGCTTGCAAGGTAGCACTAGAGATTGATGGTGCAGTCTTGATCAAGCTGATTGGCAGCAAGGCCAGTCCCACGGAGGTGTATAAGACATAAAGACAGAGCCCAATTGTCATTAACAGACCAAGAGCAAAAGTGAGGGCACGCTCGCCATCTTTTCAAAGTTATGTCAGCTTCACGGTTCTATCCGACACTGGGCAGGATACTCGGATACTCACGGTTCTCAGTCAGTAAGCGCCTGAAGTAATCCAGATCCATGCCATTCTTTCCCTGTGACACTGGGACGAAGAATCCAACTAGGAACAGGATCACGACAACTGCAACGAATGAGAGTGTGTATTTGAGGGCACCCCAAAACCGTTGGCCCACAGTTTGCTCACCCGTCTCGGCCGCAACGTCATCGTATTCCTCGTACCAGAAATATGTGAAGGGAATGACCAGAAGACAGAGCAGGGCATCCAAGGAGTAGAGGAAATAATAGATTACGGTCAAAGAATAAGTGATTCTGTCCACCACATCCTGTGTTGCCCAGTCCTTTCGCTGGCCTAACTTGGACGACGTAGTCGATGATACCAAAGCGACATCGACAGGCAACAAAAGCACTGTTGCAAGAAGGCTCGTAATCGATACAATGCAAGTCAGAGTGACTGAAGGAGAACGGTCGCGGGGAGTTTGGTAGACATAGATAAACACCGACGCTACTGCTAGTAGAATAGCTACCACCACCCCATACAGAGCCCAGATGAGGGAAGTCTGAAGGAGTGCCATATCGAAGGATAGCGGTTCACACTGTGCAAATTTGTTGTGAGGTCTGCATCAACACTCGTAGTAAAAGAATGAAGGAATGATGCTAAGAATGAGACTTTAATAATGTCAAATCAAGAAAGACGATCTTCCCTAGCTAGCGATCGCCGGTGTCGTCATTGATTATTGACGCTAACCCATTTTAAGGCATATGCAACAAAAGGCGGTATAATTTATCGGGCAGAATATATTGGCCGCTCGATTCTGCCAGGCCAGTCAGCTGACCAGCTTCCATCTCCGCTTTGCTTCCGCTTCAAAGGAGCTACAAACTTGACTGCACAAGGCAGAGATCAATCTTGATCTTGATCTTGATCGCTTCTCCTGTTGATATTGAAATTTTTATCTGTGTCGTCTCTCTCTGTGCTTACAAGGCTTCACATTCTCAGTTTTCTATCCCTAGGTTTGCAATTGCAATGTGCATCTCAGGCCATATCAAAAACACAATTTAGCTCATTGGCGGTTTTCTAGCAGTATCAAGCCTTTCACAAACTTTGACCGTGGACTCGGTTTCCAAATGCAGTGCTACACAGAGCTATTACCCCCTACGGGGGTCACCCATGCTTTGGCAGTTCCTTTCATCTCAGCAACCGCCAGCAATTTAATTGTTGTCAGAACTTCTCTATTGCAGGTTTTCTCTCTTGTTAAGGTGTCTCCTCAACCACAGAAGGAAGGCTTAGAATCTCATTCTTCACAATTTTCTCAACCAGAGACGAAATTAGTACTGGAAAGAGAATACCCGCTATCCGGAACTGTGACTGATTTAAGCCGAGTCAAAATCTTGAACACGAAGAGTGGCGGAGAAGCCATCTTGATTGCAGTCCGCAATGCCAAGCTCAGCTTGATTGAGTGGGATCCCGAGCGTCATGGCATCTCAACAATTTCCATCCATTACTACGAGCGGGATGACCTGACCCGCAGCCCCTGGGTGCCTGATCTGAGCCGGTGTGGCAGCATTCTGAGTGTTGACCCAAGCAGCAGATGTGCGGTGTACAACTTCGGAATCCGCAACCTTGCGATTTTGCCCTTTCATCAGGCGGGTGATGACTTGGTGATGGATGACTACGACCCGGAGCTTGACGGAGAACGCCCAAACCAGAACACTGGTGAAGGAGCGCAGATTGAAAAGAGCAAAGAAGGATCAGCACATCAAACACCCTACTCCTCGTCTTTTGTCCTGCCATTAACTGCCCTGGATCCTTCTTTGCTACACCCTATCAGTCTTGCGTTCTTGTACGAATACAGAGAGCCGACGTTCGGAATTCTATATTCCCAAGTCGCAACCTCCACTGCCCTTCTTCATGAAAGAAAGGATGTGGTATTCTATGCCGTATTCACACTGGATCTTGAGCAGCGAGCTTCTACCACCCTTCTTTCGGTATCTCGGCTTCCTAGTGATTTGTTCAAAGTTGTGCCACTCCCACTTCCAGTGGGAGGCGCCTTGCTTCTTGGATCAAATGAAATTGTTCATGTGGACCAAGCCGGTAAAACCAATGCGGTGGGAGTCAATGAGTTTTCAAGGCAGGTTTCTTCATTTTCAATGACCGACCAATCGGATTTGGCGTTCCGCCTTGAAGGCTGCGTGGTTGAGCGACTGGGTGGTGATAGTGGAGACCTACTTCTAGCACTTGCATCTGGAGACATGGCACTGATAAAATTCAAACTTGATGGTCGGTCTGTCTCCGGTATCACTGTCCATCCCCTTCCAGCGCATGCAGGTGGAGACATTCTGAAGTCGGCTGCCTCATGTTCCACTTGTCTCGGGGACGGAAATGTCTTCATTGGCAGTGAGGATGCCAATTCGGTGCTCCTAGAATGGTCGCATTCATCCGCATCTACTAAAAAAGCTCGGCTTGAGTCAAAACAAACAGCCGAAGGTCTTGATGATTTTTCAGATGATGACGACCAGATGGAAGATGATGACCTTTATTCCTCAGCGCCTGGACCAGCACAAGTCGATAATCGCATGGGAACTGACAATTCAACCCCCGAATTTCATAACTTTCGACTCAACGACCAGCTTTCTAGCATTGGTCCATTGAGAGACATCACTTTGGGAAAAGTTTTCTCGAACACGAATCACAAAAATCAAGATGCCAGTGAAACTGTTGCCGCAGAACTGGAGTTGGTGGCATCTCAGGGCTCAGACAAAGGCGGTGGCTTAGTAGTCATCAAGCGTGAAATCGACCCCTTGACTACCATGTCTCTGAAAGTCGATGATGCGGATGGTGTTTGGTCAGCCAGTATCACAGAAAAGAGAGGGATCTCCAGCACAGACAACCCCTCTCGTCAATATGTGGTTGTTTCCCGGTCTACGGATTCGGAGCAGGAGGTGAACGAGGTCTTCGTTGTGGAAGAACAAGGCTTGAAGCCTTTCAAGGCATCAGAGTTCAACCCAAACGAAGATTGCACAGTTGACATTGGATCTCTGGCAGGCGATACTCGTCTAATTCAGGTCCTGCGGAACGAAGTCAGAAGCTACGACATAGGTACAGTCTACTCCAGTCTGCTAGCAAGCATTGCATAAGCTAATGGTGAAACGCTACAG